GCTGCTGAGTCATCCTAAATGTCCATAATTAGCTAAATAAGTATGTGTAAAAAATGAGGAGCAGCGTAAGCTTGAAACATCCACAGCCTTTGCCTTCCTCTGAGAAACACAGGTAGTCTACTCCGGGACTGTCGCTTAACTGACAAATTAATGGCTGGTAAAAAATCTCTGAAAAATTCATCTCTCATTTCTTTTAAGCAGTGGAAGCAGCAGGATCTGGGTCAAAAATACTCTGTATGCAGCACAGTGAAAAAGATTTTTAACCCATTTTCCCAAAACAAGATGGTTGCTCATTTTGTAGAATAAAAAGCCATAAATATATAAATGTGGTATAAAACTATAAAATAATGCAAACTAACATAGATAACTACACCTGAAAATGAAATTCAAATCAGTTGCCATCTTGGGAAATGTGTTAAAAATCTTCTTTATTGCACAGCAAACTAAATATGTTCTATCCTTGTGGCTAAAGGAGACTTTAAGGATTCAGGAAATACCTTCAAAACTGCAGTAAATGTGTTTAAACATCCTTCTGGGCTTTTGAAAGATTGCCAAGGATTTATCTTTCAGAAAAACAGACACTTAGCTCTGTGACTCGAATTACTCTATTGTTATGGTAATACATGAGAGGCACAAGCTGGGGTTATGCACTTCTGTACACTGCTGAATTGTGCATTAAAACATTAATAAAATAAAGTTTATGGAACATGCAGCAATACTAACAAAGTAAGATGCTGATTCCTATATTGGCAAGAACTTCACACTGTATTCGGCCATTTTCCAAGTCACAGTAGCAAAAAAACCTCAGACTGAAAATGGACTGTATGTGCTCAGAACTGGACTGAATTAAATTCAAAGAGACACTAAGTCCATTTGGTATTTACTGTACATTCTTCACTACATCATTTAATCCGTGTAGGCTCTAGATGTGAACAAGTCTTCAGCCTGCGTCACAAGAACAGGTTGATCTTTTGAGAGTGGTCCTTAATTCAAGTTAGGGTAGAGGGGCTAACACAATGGTGTAATTACATAACACAAAGAAACCCCTCTCTGTCTCTGTCCAGCCGCCCAAGACTGGACTCCTTTCATCCAGCGAGGGAACATGGTGACCGGAGAGAGAGCGGGACGATGGAGTCTGCCCACCCCTTTCATAGACTCAGAACAAACACATAGTATTGTCTCTCTTGATTTGTGTGTATGTGCATATGTGCCCGTGTTTGCATGTAGTACGTCTGTCTTCGCCCGTCGTCATTCTCTGTTCCAATATATGCGTTAGATCAATAAAGCTCAGCAAGGTCAAGTGCCTCGACAAGCCCCAGGATGACCTTCTGACAGCGTCTGCATATGTTGCAGGATTGCATAGGTAAGTGGTTTTGATTCGTGTGTGTGTGTGTTCACCCCAGCTGGCCCACAAGGAGGGCTTAAGGGAACCCAACCCCTCCCTGTGCACATAGAACCCTATTTTCATCCGGCGACCCTGTAACCCTTGACCCCTGGGACTCAGCAATACTGGGGCAACAAAACACAACATTTGAGCCCACAAGCCTATTCCTTTAACTGTGATCACAGCTTCTTCCACACATGCACAGGGTGCCTTGAAAAACAAGCAATGACTCAGAGGCAGTGAGAAGGGTCTGTGGCCCTCGATGTTTCTGAATCTCTTTTTTTATCATATGGGTTCGTCAACTGAAACTGGAAGCAGAAAAAGAAGAGCAAAAAAGAAAAAAGAATGTGCTGTGCAGCATTAAACATCCCAGTCCAGGCACTTGCCAACACGTGTCATTTGGGGAAATATGTTTTCTTGCTCAAGTTAGATGAGAAGATCTGATTACAAATATAAGGATACAGCCAGCAGCCCGTTAGCTTAGCTTAGCACAAAGACTGGAAACTAAAGAAAACAGCAAGCCTGATTCTGTCAGAAGAAAAAACACACCAAGCATAAGATGTAAAGTCAAGTCCCGATGTTTTGTTGTCACTATAAGGTTTCCAGGCAAACAATGTATACTTCAGGAAGTTACAACGCCCCTAACCAGGAAATAGTCTAGCACATAAACCCCCCCATAAAAAAAAAAAAAAATATATATATATATATATATAGCTATATATATATATATATATATATAGCTATATATATATATATATATATATATATATATATATATATATATATATATATATATATATATATATATATATATATATATATATATATATATATATATATATATATATATATATATATATATATATATATATATATATATATATATCTAGTATATATATATATATATATACCTAGCTATATATATATATACAGCATATATATATATATATATATATATATATATATATATATACCACTCTGTCCTATTTACAGAGTTTGGTTTGTCCATTCTGGGCTACTGTAGAAGCGTGATAGTTCAACATGGAGGCATCTACAGTGATGAAAACATACCTATGAATATTGTACTCCATTTCTGCCAATAAATTCTCCTAAATGTTAAACACTGGACCTTTGAGAAACATGTTCCTTCTTGAGTTTTTTTTACTCATAGATGCCTATGCTAGATGTAGCTTCATATTTAATGGACTTATATGAAATGTATTTCCCAGCTATTGCTTTAAGTGTGTGTACACAATGTTAACCCTAACCCTTATTTTTTAGTGCCACTGAATTTGATTTTCTTCATGCCACACTGTACCCAAAGATGAGGGCCTATGTCTTACTTCTTTAAATTATTATTGGCTACACCTTCACAGTTGATCAAATGTACAGCACTGCTCTGCACACTGGGGCCAAAAAGTAGCAAAATATTGTTCCAGGCCAAATTTTTGCAAGCCATGAGGGTATTAGAGGACATTATTCTCACCAAGCAGGAGGCCTTCCTCCTCTAGAAGAGAGGGGGTTGTCATGAGGAAAGGACTGTCTGTGTTTTCAAAGATTTTGTCTTTAATCAGCAGATCTGCTGGAATTAGAGGTCTGTCTGAGCCTGAGCCCCCTCCCTTACCCCCTTCAATCCCTGACAACGTGAGAAAGGTGTGTGTGTGTGTGTGTGTGTGTGTGTGTGTTGGTCAGGGGAGTCTTAAACCGTGGGACCAGAACGACATGAGCTGCCACACTGGGCTCATAAATGCACCCTTTGGCAAGCCCACGGCAAATGCAGCTTAGCATAATTCAAAAATACCAGACGGTGTGTACTGTGGTGCACTGCTAAATCCACAAAGCAGCTTTCTCCCTCTCTCATCTCTCTGCCCCTCTCCTCCATCTTCCAAAAAACACTTCCGCACAAACAGGAATTAATGCCACTGCCAACCAGTCTATTTCCTCGGAATAACAACCCCGTCAGGCCATCAAAAGTTGTCAAGCTTAGTTTTGTTTGTTATTAGAGGTCTCATTAAGTGGAAAGGGCCACAGCTAACACCTCACTAAAGCCCGGATAAAGCCAATATTTTGTTCTTTGCAAGTAAATAATGACAATTTTAACTGACAAAATATAATAAATCCGAAAATACTTTGGCACCAACATTAATCATCCGTGAATATTAAATTATTTATGTATTTTATTGGTATTATGGTTCATTCAGGACTCACAACAACATGAATACAGAACATACAGGTACATGTTGTGACCTGAATCCAAATAACACTCGACCACATCTGCAATAACAACAAAAACACAAACCATACAGTACCGACAGCGCTGCCGTGGATATTAGCTGATAGAAGGATATGATATTTATGTGAGCAGCTGGTTGAGACAGACCACGGGTTGGTGTGATGTCTGCCTCCAGCCGTCCCCATTACTCGTTATATTACACCCATTTTCATTACATTAATAACAGACCTGTGGAATATCTCACTGGTCACACCAACAGCATTTAAATTACCAACTGAAATGACAGGACATGCTGATTGTGTTAAATCAGCTACACTGTAAAAAAACGATGAAGATGTTGGATGTTATATTGGTGTAATGCTGATGATGGAGGGCGTTACTGAGTAGTTTTGGTTAAGAAATAAGTCTTAGCTCTCAGCAGTGTGGATGTTTTTATTGGTAAAATTCAGTGTGTGGCTGTGAATAGAAGCCCTCGGGCAAATTAGATAAAATAAATTGTATAATAAAGTCATTAAATGTGCTTCAGAGGGAAGGAAATTGTTCTTTTAAAATGTTATTTTTGAGAAAGATGTGGTACTTTTATTGTATTTGTTATATACTGTATGATAATTAAGGCAATCTGTGTGTGTGTGTGTGTGTGTGTGTGTGTGTGTGGTTGGGGACGGGGGGAGTTATTAGGACATTAAAGCAATGGGACATTTCAACTCCTTATTATTGATTGCGTGTGGCAGTTAAGGAATGTTTATTCTGCTGTTATTTTAATGTAACCATCAATTAAATCCTTAAAATCAGAACGTAATAAGTGTGAAATGTGAAATTTGTGATACTTGGCAAAGAAATTCAAATCTTTTTTGCATCTGCAGCCTTTCAAAGAACCTTTTGTGGCCATTTCAATGATTTTAGGTTAAGTTATCTTATTATTTGACTAATAATTAATTAGCAGTATACTTGTACTTGTCTTTAAAGGCAGTATTTTGTCCATCTGAATGTGTGTACTCTCACCACTACAGTTTATTTGTGGTGAATATCTGCGTATTTTCTGTACATTGAAACAGTTTGTACAAATGAATGTATGTATGTCGCTGAAGGACCCGGTCGACCTTGGCTCATGTAGTGTTTCAGTGTTAATTAGGTTGCGGTGTCTCATTGTGTCACTGAATGTAATCCACTTGACAAAACATGCATTGGGTCTTCACAAACGTTCTGACTCAAGCGCACTGTTTGTAATGCTTATGAGGAGGTGAAGAGAGGAGCAGATGGCAGCAGAACAATACCATACGCACTCGTATGGAAGGACATTTGACAGCCTGGTGCAGCTTAATGCAACACAAAACAAAAAGCTCACCGGAGGTCTTATTACAAAAAGCTGTATTAATCTCCTACCTGGACAGCCTGCAGGAGCCGAATGCATCGCTCCCTGACGTCTTCAAAGGGACACCGTTTGGAGAGCATGAGAAGGTGAGCCAGGATGTCGTTCAGGTCGCTGTTGGGAAGGCTTCCCGAGGCTGGGGGCGACAGGGCCGGTGTCGGTATGGGTCTGATGGCCTCCACTTTCCTCATCACCATCTGGCGGATGTTCTCCATGGCTTCGCTTCTGGAGATGGCATCCCGGCTGCCCAGCCCGTCCCATCTCTCCAGAGACTCCTGGTCCTGCACGTCCATCTTTTGATGTGGGACTAATGTTTGTGCTGCCTTACAACAAGCTACACAATAAGTAACACATGAAACATTGTATGGTTTACATCACAGCATCAAAAATAACCCAAAGAGATGTTTATTTTAATGTTATTCTAGTGGGGAACTGTGGTTGGGCATGCACCTATAATGTCATTCAGTGTCAGACAGCACTGCAAGAACTACTATTGCCCGATATTAGCACATATATCAGCCAGTAAGTAAAAAGAATTTGTGTTGCAAATTGCATTAACATACTTGCACCTGGAAGCACTTACAAGTTTATTTTCCCAACTGTTAAATAATGTCAGATCTGTATCAAATATGTATTTTTTTATAGCTCAAAATATAGTTTTCTAGAGAGTTTATGAATAAAATAAGCAGACGGGACATAATCCAACACATTAAGTACCTGACAACTCATCACAATGATGCAAAAAGTCATATAAAAATCTAATATTGCTTCAAAGAAGTTCAGATTTTTGATTTGCAATACTACCTACAATGGCCTAACACACTGATATCACTGTATAATGTATAAATGATATGGTCAGACATGGTATATTTAATCATGCCTACTCAGTAAATATCTTCGCCACAGTTCTTTAACAAAGGAATTCAAGAGATTTTATCAAATGTTTCTTTCTGTCTACCAATGTCTAAATATAAATATGCATATATATATATATACATACTACACACATACACATACGTCTGCACGCATTAATCCGACCTAAAACAGCCAGTATTAGTCGGGCTCTAGCAGGAATACAGGCATTTAAACCCAGATCATGCTGAGAAATGTAACACTGAACATTTGATCTGTTAACGTTACCAACTTCCAAGCAAAAATAAACCTGGTTTAAATCCAGACTATGCACTGAAGTTACAAACCCTCATAATCTGCTTTTGCATTTAAAAATAATGCACAAATAACGCAACTTGTCATTTAAGTGAGCTCCATTCAATCTGTCCCTGTCTTCCTTTGGTGTCAAGGCTTTTTTTTTTTTTTTTTTTTTTTTTTTTTTCTCCACAAGGCACACATTAATAACAAAAGACACCCGTAAAGTACAAGAGAAGCGCGGAGGAAGCCACATCCCCACCGGCAAACCTTTCACCGTGGACCCACAAATAAAAAGTGTCACTCTCTGAAATACTCACTTTATCCACATTCTTCGGTGCAGGTCTTCTGCATACGGGACGCCTTGACACTGCACAGACCAGCGAACGCCAGTTGGAAACGGTGGGAGGCGACGGCTAAAACGTTTGATTGGCGGGGCGGGCTGGCCAATGAGAGGAGGCCGTGGGCGTTCTAAGGGCGTGTCTGTGCCAATTCTGGCCCCCTGATTGGTCGGAGGCCCAAACTCGCCGGGAGGGGGGAAGGTTTCCTGGGAGTTGGATTCTCTGCGTTCGATCCGTGTTTTGAAAGGGAGGCGCGTCGGAACTACATCTCCCATCATGCAGTTCGTCGGCAAAAGCCCCCCCCCCTTTCTCTTGTTTATCAGAAAATAATTGAAAGGCAGGCAGAGGAGAGAGAAAGAGGGAGATATGGGTAGTGTCGGTTTGAGTCGCTTTTGTTGTTTAATCTCATTTGCATTTAACTAAACTGCCAAAACTACACACTGAAACGGCCAATGATAAAGATTATCGTCTAAAAGAAGTTAATATTAGATGTTACATGCCATGTAAATCTATATTAGAGACAAAGGTGTTGTCTCTAACAAAAAAATATATATATAAATCTACATAAGATGTACGAATCTGGAAACTGGGAGAAAGACAAATACCAAAATAAGTTTTAGAGAAAATAAATGTTTTATCTTTGTGCAGCACACCTGCTACAACTTCAGACATGTTGCCTTCTGCTGCAGCAGGCTATTTGCATACTGCTGTGCAAATGTTTACAGGGTGACTGATTCATTTACTGGCTAAAGACACTTTGACACAATAGCTCAAGAGGCCAGAAAAATGCCTTTAAGAACAACTTTTTTTGGTTGAAAGTGGGCACGTCTCCACGTAATCAAACTCCAACTCCTTAACATATGTTATTTAAGGCCATCGCTACCACTGAGGATGCTGAGGGGTTATGTATGTCCTCTGTATTTTGGGGGATGTGTGTGTTTGGTTAAATTAAAATGATAACAGGGTGTGTTTTCTTCACTCATGTGCACCAGTTTTTTTAGCAGTGTGTTTGGAAATGATTAAATACTATAAATGTTAGTCTACTGGGTCGTCATTAATCAAAACCAGGCAAAAATATTTCTGATCCATAAAGCTGTATGCAGGATGAGTGACTCTCAGTGTTTATTCTGGCTATAGTCCTGCTTTATATTTCTGCCAGCAGTTTTGTGAGGCTTTAGATCTTTGATTTCATGAAGGGTAACTGCATTATAAATGCAGTGAGCCTTCACAGCACTTAATCTAAAACACTAATCACTTCTGTGAATACCCTCGTGAGGACGAGCCAACTTGCAAAGATTAAATGCATTTGAACATGTGACAAAGATATGATTCATTATCAATTCGTTATATTTTATGTTGCTAAAATGTTCCCTCCGATGTGGAGAGGGAGAAGGCCTCGATTGTTTTAACAGGGTTGGCAGAAAGAGGGAAATTATATTAGATTTAACTCTTTTCTTTTATCTAAATTATATGAAAGTGTCAGAAAGTGTCTCTCTCTGACAAAATCTGAAAACCTGACCCCAATAAGAGGTCACCAAAGTTTCACTGGGGGGTCGCGAGGCCTTCTTAATATTAAGATGTGTAAGAAAACTTAACAGAATATACACAGAAGGCCTTTATCTCAGCATTTCGTCTAATTGTGTGACGAAAACGAAATGAAATTGTTTGCTTAGATATAATTTATAATTGTTAAAAAATGTAAAAAAAAATACACAATACAGACATATTGTATAAAAGGTTCCTAAAACCATAAAAAACAAACATACAGCTAATGAAATATTCACAAAATTCACTTTATCAGTTGTTCTGTACTGTTGATCCATAAAATATGTCACTTAGTCAACAATGATCAATGAGAGATAGAAAGGGGATAGATAGTGTATGTATAGCCTAGATATATATTATTATTGTTATTATTATTATTATTATTATTATTGTTATTATTATTATTATTGTTATTATTATTATTATTATTATTGTTATTATTATTATTATTATTATTATTGTTATTATTATTATTATTGTTGTTATTATTATTATTATTGTTATTATTATTATTATTATTGTTATTATTATTATTATTATTATTATTATTATTATTGTTATTATTATTATTATTATTATTATTATTTATTATTATTATTATTATTATTATTATTATTATTATTATTATTATATAGTGTCAATGGTTGGGAGCTGGAGGAGGAAGCAGTGCGCAGGCGGAACCTCTGTGATGAGGGCGGCAAAGAGGAGGGAAATTTAAAAAGTCCGGACAGGAGTCGGAAAGAATCGGTTAGCTGACATAGAAACAGTTTTAACAACTTTAAACACAAAGCGGTCTGAAGATTATATTAAATATTAAATATTAAATATTAAATGTAAACACATGAGCTGAAACGAGTCTCGACCTCAGGATGGAGTCTCGTTACGATCAGGTAACGTTCGCCCACCGGCCGTTAGCTGCGGGTGAGGCTAACGCGGTAGCATTTTTAGCTTTGTTTACTTTCTCTAACGCTGCCGTTCGCTGCCGGGGTCGTCTGAAGGCGCTTTATTGTTGTTTTTTTTGTAACGTTTATCAAGTTTGACGTCCAGAGAGGGTGGTTTACAGGTTTATGCTGGGTTAACACGGTATATTAACGGTATTTGTAACGTCGCTTAACGTTAGCAGCGGAAGTCGTGAGGCGTTTAGGAGCGTTACGGTTTGTTTGTATTTATCAGCTTTTCTTCTCCCGACAGTAATTTAAGTGTTTAACACAGGGAAAGTACAGGATTTGCTGGTGTTTAATATTATATGTTATTATCTCATTTGACAAGCTCATCTTAATGACTAAACAATTAACCTCTAATGCAAATAATCATTAACGTTAGCTGCAATCTTCTGTCTCTAAAGCCTCCTCCTCCTCTTGTCTGTTAGATTTTAGACTCGCCCTCCAAAAACAGCTACATTGGGAGCTATTACCAGCCTCCGGACAGGATACTGTCAGTACCCAGACAGCTGGAGCTCCCTGCACACTCCCCCATCAGCATGGATCCACAGACGAGCAGCCCTCAGGGGTCTCAGACCAAACCTAATATTGACAGCAAAGGTACGGTGCAGCCTTTGTGTCAAGCTTGTCTCATACAATGTTTTTGTCATGGTCACCTCCTGCTACCATTAACAGGTATGCTTTTTTTTTTAAATTTTGTTCTTATTAACTTCAGCTGTTGTTGACGCACTGAAGACCCTGCAGCAGAAAATCAGACGACTGGAGCTGGAGAGGAAGCAAGCAGAGAAGAGCTACCACCAGTTCTCCCATGAAGCTCAGGCTCATCAGCAGATCACAGCATCTTATACAATGCACAGTCAGCCAGCAGCCAGCCTGCCGGAGACAGATAACACTGACAGGAAAGGTAAGTGATGGGGGGCGCAAAGGGAGAGGCCACTGCTATGTTCTTGGACATTATGGAAATGTAAAGTCTTCTCTGTGTTCTGTGTTTGTGGTAACAGAGCTGGACTTGAAGCTGCAGTCTGCAGAGTCTCGGTGTAAGGTTCTTGAGAAGCAGCTGGACTACATGAGGAGGATGGTTGAAAACGCTAAGAAGGAGAGGAATGCTCTCATGGAGGATCAGGTAGTCCAAAAGTATAGTTTTGTAGCTCAGAGAAGGATAACAAATTATGTTTATATCCTAACTCTATTCCTCATCTGTGTTCCATTAGGTTACATCTCTCTTTGTACTGTATGCATGTTACAGAGCCGCCATATAATCCCTGTTTGCCTCCCCACTAGGCCTCACTGCAGAACCAGCAGCCAAGCAGCTCAAACACCCAGTCTCAGCGCGAGAAGCTGGAAAAACTTGAATCGGAGTGTCTCAAATTGAGCAGGACCCAAACTCTGGCAGAGGTAATTCACAGTTCTTCCAAATGATTAGTCTTGACGCTGATCATGACAAGCTGAATGATGAGATCTTTACTTCAATGCAATTTTGCTTTCAGAGGAAGCTTGCCTTTCTGGAGCAAAAACTACTGAAAGAAGAGCACGAACGTCAACTTGTGCAGGAGAAAGCAGACAAAGTCAGTGCACACACTTCACTTTTTGGATCAGCTCTTTTAAGTTTCAGTTACACAAGAAGTTTACCTTGTTGTTGTTGTTGGCTGTGCTTGCTATTATTATCTTTAATACCGTTATCTTGAGATCACAAGTTAATTTATCTGGAGAAAAATAACTTTGCTTGTTTGTAGATAACAAGATAATGACACTGTTTCTCAGAGATCAGCAGTGCAATGCCAGCTTGCATAGATGGCGTTTTATAGATATAGCATTAGTTCAACATAATGGACAATGCATGGAGGAATGACATGCCAGTTAAAATTCATTTTCATATTGACCAAAATTGCATCATATTGCCAAGAAATAATATCTTAAATTAACTCTCAGATGTACATGGTAGCAACTTGTTTCAGGTCAGTTATGATCCTCCCAAACAGTCGACAGTGATCTTGAAGGCTGAAATTAGTAGTGATCAAATGAACCAGACATCGGACAGCATAACAGACTTAAATAATAAAATGTAAGCATGGCCGTTCTCAGCTTCCGTAATTCCCTTTATCCCAAATATGCACATATTTTAGAATAAATTTAGAAAATAAGCACTTCTTTTTTGTTTTATATAAAAGGTCAATTACTTCTAGTCCCTATTAAATTATCTCTAATCTAATAATGGTAAAATGCCAACAAAGAATCTTGATAGGTAGCAGACAAGCATTTTTTTTATTTTTCTTTAATCGTTCTATTATTGCGACGTCCACAGCTGCAGAAAGAGCTGGACATCAACTTTCGAATGTCTGTCCAAACTACTGAGGACATCAAGCCAAAGAAGAAAACAAAAAAGAGCATAAAGGTACCTTTCTTATTGATAAAGCTAATTAACTACTAACTTAACGTTTGTTTGCACATAGTAATGATAAATCTATCTTCTATCTCAGAAAACCCCCAGACAGAACGAGCTGGCATCACCAAGCACCCCGAGGCACAAAAAAATGCCTTTTGTTGCTGGAACAGTAAGTCCGTTCTGATGCTCTGCAGTAACTCTAAAAAAACATGAATTATTAACTGTTTCCTCTTTTTTTTGATTGATTTTGATCTCCTCTACCTGTCGCAGTCGACGAGCCCGAGCCATTCAGTCCACGCCAACATACAAAGTATACTTCACATGATGAAGCACCATCAGCCCCAGCTGTGTGAACGAGTGAGCGCTCTGCAGAGATCTGGTTGTGGAGCCAAGAAAAGCCTCCAAAAGGACTTTTCTCAATCTTCCACTACTTTTCACAATCCGGACAGGGAGCCCAAACGAGCAGATCAGTCACTGGGCTCGCTGTCTGATCTGCTCCTGGCTCTGCAGGACGAGCTTGGACAAATGAGCTTGTGAGTGAGATTTGTATTGTTTCATTTTACTTTACTTTCTTTTTACACATTTAGTAATCTGTGTCTGTGTTTTTTTGTCAGTGAGCATCAGGAGTTGGTGGCTCAGATAGATGCAACCCAACATCGCGACCAGAAGCAGGATCTGCAGAGAGAACTTGAGAGGTTGGTCGCCAGGATGGAAGAGAAGGGAGTTCAGATCACCAAACTCCGCAAACACCAGCAGACGGTATGTGAACTGTCACTCTGTACAATCCAGTCTCATTAAGGAACTTTGTAGACATGTAGTGTTTAATTTAAAGAACCAGTGTGTAGGATTTAGTGGCTATAGGGGTTGAAGTCTGTATTTAATGACCTGGAATGTGTAGAAGAAAGTGGCAGCGGAAAAAAAGGTCCTTTCTTCTGTCAGTGTTTGGTTTGTCCGTTTTGGGCTACTATAGAAACATGACAGTTCAACCACAGAAGGCAACCAGTGTCTGTAGATTAAAAACGTCTCATTCCAAGGTTAAACATAAACACAGAGATTCCTGTATTCGGTTGATTATACACTAATGAAAACACACCTATGAATATTAGATTCCATTTCCGCCAATAGTCCCTCCTGAATGTTACACACTGGACCTTCAAGTATGTCCAGTGTCTGTAGTGTCAGCTGATCATCACCCATAAATGTGTAAGGACTGTAGGTGTCTAATGTTTTCTAATGTCTTCGGCTCCTGTACAGGTCCATCAGTTGTGCCAGAGCCAGCCACGTGCCGAGGAACACAAAGCCAAGAAGCCGAGCGGGATCAAGCCACCTGCTCCTTCTCCTGTTAAGCCCAAGCAGAAAGGAAAGAAAGGTGGGACCACCCACAACAACCTGCAGCTTCTCAGAGAGACCCAGAAGTTGAGGAACAGCCTAAAACAGGACGACCTCTCCTGGGAAACATGAGGTTTTCTCTGAAAGAACTTTCTGTGTGCAGGCTTTGATACCACAGCTGGTTGAAGCACAAGACTCCCCTTGGCTCCTTGCAGCCTGCTTTCTCCTCTCTTCAGATGGCCTCTGGGACATTTTTAGTAACAAATGAAAAGAGGGAATAAAGTGTTTTTTGTGTTTTACACAGGACTTGATAATGTGTTACTCAGACAACCTATTAAGCAATTTGTGATTGACTTAAATAAAATCTTGCACATACAGGGTCCTTTAGTAGGTAGAGGGTGTTTAGTTACAAACTTGGACCTTATATCTCATCTCAAATGAAGCTGGAGTAATCTATTTTTAATATTTAACATTTTTAAATAAAGGGTATTCTCTCTACATGCTGTAAATGCAGTTTTATTTCTGCCAACACAAATGTTTTTCTGTAACTCTGCACCATTGTTTGGATTGAGAACCACTAGGTGGCAGTGGTCAGCCTGTGTTTATTTTAAAAAAACATGAAGGCTTTCACCTCTGACACATTTACACGGTTGCATGTATAATAATAAGACACAACTGTATAATGTTGCATGCAGCACCAATCTCCTGCTGTCTTGAACGGTCTATAATTGAGATGGACCAGATGCTTTTGTGAATTAGGTTACAGCAGCTGGTTGGACAGCTGAGTAAATGTGGCCCTGACCACAGGACAAACGGATGTGGCTTTTATCGCTGTGCACAACTGGGAGGAACTGCTTTTTGACTTTTGAATTTAGCTTTTTTCACACAGCCAAAACGGCTCAATTCTTTTAAATGCAACGATGATAGTTGCGCATCTTAATTGCAGGCTGTGTCAGGTGACAGGACACATTTCTGGCGAGGCTGAGGCTTTTATACTTGCTCCCTGTTTATTTGAGTCAGCCACCTTTATTTTTTTTAATGGGAGGAATAACCCCACACGTGAAGCTGCCTCATAACATTCCTGCATTATCTCATTATAAGGCCTTGGTCAACATTTTTGTTGTCTCATCAGGTCACATTTTTGAGAAGGATGAATTCTTTTTTTTTTCTTAATGCTAATCTCAGTCACTCCCTATACCACCAACTCTACAGTGGTTCTTAAGTCACAGATTGTTGACATAAAAACGTCCCTAACTTGCCCTGTCAGACGTTCTCGGGTCACGGCAGAAGAAAACCGCTTATTGTTATTGTTGCTATCTGCCTTTTCAGTTCATTATCTAGCTCAGTCCTGGTATTCTTGGCATGACTCTGAGTTCACTGCATGGTTAAATGGACTGAGCTGGTGTATGAGAGAGAGACTAAACCCTAATGCATTGTTTCTCTGTGCTCCCATATTAGATTACAGAGCATGACTGGATGCAGCAATCTGGTTAGCTGAGGCAAGTCAGGGCCCCTCCATGCCCATATACAAGGATCTCCATCCTCTCCTGACCCTGCAGCTCCGATACCTTGTGACTGCACACCCCTCTTTTTGTGTGGTGTTCACTAGCAGCGGTGTGCTCAGAGAGCAGTGTATGTAGGAGGGCTGGGTAGATATGAGTCTGCGTTAGGCAGTTTGTTGTGGGTGTGTGAAGGAATTGCCTATAAACAGCTACTAGTCCATCGTCTTACAAAGAAGAAGAACAAGGAGTACATTTGCCTACAGTCAAGTACGTGGATGCTAACTGAAAAAGCAGCATCCTCAGTGTGTGAGTGCCTTTTATTGAATAGGACAGCTGAAGATTGACAGAAAAGAGAGTGAGAGAGAGAGAAGGGATGACATGCAAAGGGCCACAGGTTAGATTTAAACCCATAAGACTCAGCCCTGGTACATGGAGCACACAATCTACCAGGTAGCTACCAGGTCGCCCTAGATTTTCCACTTAGTGAAAGGCCTGCAAGAGATGTTCTTAGATAGAGCAACAACAAGCTTTTCTATCTCTGTCCAGTAACACTAAGTGCAGGGTTGCAGATTGTTTTTAATGGATGCACAAGAGAGAGAAACTGTGGTGTGGTTATCCAAAAAACATTTCTCTCTCTCCGAAACACTCTTTGGTTCAGGGAAAGGTTGCCAGCTGGGGACTCTGACACTGAAGAATAACAGTCTGCTCAGCACTTAAACATTTTGTTACGCACACACCTCGTTCGGGAATGTAGTCGAGTACACGGGCCGCGATACTTGAATGTGTGCACACACGCGTGCATACTAACATTTCCTTCAGAGCTAGCAGTTTTTGCTACATAAGCAGAACCTCGCTGTGACCTCGGAAACTTATCAGGAAACAGTGAAAAACAAATGGTTTGTTTTTTAACAGACTGGTGGTTTCTTTGGGTCATTGATTGAATTGTTATTGATGGTACACGGCAGGAAATAATGTCAGTGTTGTTGATGGAATAAACTTTGTACCAGTTTCCTTTTCAAAAACATGTTTCAAACATTTCCCTCGTAAGATTATTACACAGTAGGGCTATTAGTTAATGTATGGCCAAAAGGGAGGCACTAGTATCAACAAAAACTCTATTATTATGTAGCTCAGTGGTTACCAACATTTCAGGCTTGTGAAAATTAAGCAATGTTAACTTGTGACCCCTCTTCACAGGTTACGACATCGTGGGCGTCAGTGGTGAGCTGCTCCTTCTAGGATTGCTTGATCTGAGGGATTCATAGAGGCCTGAAGAGGCTGAAGTATGAAACATAATTTCAATACCGAAAGTGACGGCAGTTTATTGCTGCCAAAGCCAGAAAAAGAAAAAATGAACAGTGTCAGAAACGTTTTTTTATACCAAGATATCTTTCACATCACTAGGAGATACGAACTAACTCTAGATAATCAGGCAGAGAACAGAGATGGAGGGCATTGATGGGGTTAGGGTGGATCCAGCTGTACAACATCAATAAGAATGTAAATTATATTAGTGCTTTTCCCAAATGGCTGCAAGCACACTGACCAACACACTCACATGGAGGAGCAGGTAAAGCAGAGTTACAGTCAGTTTACACGGCAAATAAGACATAAAGTTTTGAATAGTTTGGCATTTTGGTTAAGATATTTAATGCCAAATCCAGATTTAATAGGTATAAAGTGCTGAATTTGTAGACATCTGAATGTTAATACTATAAATATGATGATTATATGGTTGTTCAGCTCTAATCTGCTGTTTGCTTGTTGACCCAGCATTAGAGACACACACACACACACACACACACACACACACACACACACACACACACACACACACACACACACACACACACACACACACACACACACACACACACACACACACACACACACACACGGCAAGACAAAGAAAAGCCTGAACTTGATACCTTTTGTTGTCCGTGGCAACTAGTCTTTCAACTGTAACCATGGCGATGGAGCCTTACACTGAGACCTGGCTGCGTATCATCGTCCCACTTGTGATTTGTCATGTAAATCAGCCAGCTCCAAGAAAGTTGACACTGTCATCAAATGAAGGGTAAATACAGCGATTTGTTTAACAATATTCAAACTTTATTGGTTTTACATTGTGAAACTAAAGGCAACACTAGAAAAACAAGGCACAAAATAAAAAGGGTTGAGAGAAGAAGGAAGAAACAAAAGAGCACAAAAATAAGCACAAACCATTTCCGAGGGTTTTGGGGGGGGGGGGCATAGTGGCACCTGCAAGTGTCTATGTTTGGCTGTGTGTGTGTGTATGTGTTTGTGTGTCAAAGTGGGGTTTGGAGCAAAGCCACAGAAAAAAATCTAAATCGTACCTACAAGACTGATGGCCTCTTAACACAACAAGGTAAAATATATGGCACTACAGTGTGTGTGTGCACATAGCAATAAAGCCACGAGGCAAAGGAGGGAATCAAAAAGCTTTTTAACTTGTTGCTCTTGGGACACTGCAAGGCTGAAAACTGATAGGAGAGCCCTCCATGACCAAGCAAATTGGGACTTTTCTTAAGGAAGTCTAAAGAAAACAAGTAATTCAATGAAAACAATTGAAAATTACAACCAAAGAGAACTTCAAGTCATCACGTGACTGTTTGCTTCATGGACAAAATGTTGCAGTTAAAGAACATTAAGAGGTCTGTGGCTGCACAATTACCGCTAAGTTATTTTATCACAATGTGCTGGTGGGAAGTTGTCCAAGCTACAATCAGGCTTCAATTGAAAACTGTGCCATTCGTTAGCTGGTTACAGCCATTTCAGGAGCATTTTTAAACACCTACAATGTGCGATTGGTCAAAATGTAGGCACTTAAATGCTACCGACATGCCAGCCACTGAGTACACACTCACAAACTGCATTCAAATGCCGCCTGTTAATTACCTAGACAGCCTGTCACAAGCAAATGCTCTGTGGATTTTTGATCAAGAAGTTAAGGCTGAGCGTGACAAAACAAGACATTTAAGCAGAATACACAGAAAAAAACCACTTCACAGGGGTCTGAAAGTGCTGAGTCCCGTTGATATTTAATATGTGTGGCATATAATTTTTTTTTTTTTTTTTTTTACAAACTACAACTATATGTGGATATTAACTGAATAAGGCACTTTTCCTTAAAAAGAGGTGCACAGACTGAGTTAGTGGACTTGTAGCAGAAGCTGCAGAGAGGCAACACAATGGACATCTATTGGTATCCATGGATACCAGAGGTGTTTTGGACACACGGCAATGTCAACATGTGATGCCGTGTTCTTAAGGAATGCAGCAAGCATGTCGAAAAAGCAGAGAGCACTTTGACTGGATTTCAGTGGTTACGCAGCGTAGCGCTCGACGGCTGTGGATAAAACTCAAATATTTCTCTCTAAATTTGGGGGGGCGAAGGCTCTCCACATGCAGAGAATGGACAAACGGGTGCAGCTGAGGCCAAACTCTGTAGGCCTACTCGCCATAATTGGGTCTTTGGGCTGTAGCCTAATGCCACCAGGTAACTAGGTTAAAAAGGCGTGTTAATGGTGAGCAGCAGAAAAAACATGTAATCCTAAAATGATGAAAGCCAAAAGAAAAAAAGAAACTGCACTCATGAATTTCTTACTGTTCGTGGTCATACAAAACAAGGTGATTATTCATCCACTATCTATTACTATTCAAGACTGAGTATTTATACAAGCATTGGATTTTTTTTTTTTTAAGTTTGTTTTTTGTTTTTTTGATTTTGGCTGAATCATGAAAACATGTACAAAGACAAAGTTACAAAACAAAGCTTGTCAGTGCAATGCTCAATTTCCATGCCAAAACTGAGGACTTTGGCTTAATGCACACTGTTTCAAGGCAATTCTTTCAGCTAGCATATGGGCTAATCACAAATAATCGAGTGGTTTTTAAGTGTCTAAATCCTTAAGAGCATATGCAGTGGGAGGATACAAAAAATCACAACTCCAAGCATCCAGCATGCAATCAAGAGAAGAAAAAGAAAAGCTGTTTAACTAAACATTCTTGACACTGACGAGCCCGCTACAAGAAAAATGTACTGATAAACACTCCTTCATTTAGCCTTTCCTCAAGTTGAAACCAAAAGGATAAACAAAAACAGGACATGGCTATGTACAGGAGGGACAAAATGGAGGAAGAGGGGGGGGGAAGAAGAAAAAAAAAAAAAATCACAGTTAGCAGCAAGCTAATAAGAGAACTTGACATGAGCTCTAGCATGGCCACTTAGCTGTTGCAGTTCTGCACTTCACTCACAATCCTCTCATTTATACGGCAGAAAGTCAGAAATCAGAGGTGCAATGCTCATTTAACCAAACCAGCACTCAAACAAGCCAACATTTTTACTTCAATGCACTCCCTCCAATACTCAAGTTTTTTAAATTAAATCCAATATTTTTGCCTTTTCTTTAAAAAGAAAAAAGAAAAGAAAAACAAGGTACCCCTCCCAGATTTATAGCGCCCAACAGGAGCCCAAAATGTCCTGCCAGCTCACTGTTCAGTGTTTCAAAATTAAACGCAATTTACAGCTGAGTTCTGACACATAAATAGTGCAGTGGGAGGAAATTTGTGAGCAGCCTTGGGAGCTACAAAAAAAAAAAAAAAAAAAAAAGGGAGAGCGCCTTAAATTATTCATTTATACAAGGTCACCAGTGAGAAGACCATAGGTTTCATGCACTGAATATAGTCCTCGACTTATAGGGAAAAAAACTTCGATCTCGACTGATTAAGGCCCTCGAGTGATGACTATCTACGGTATTCTTCAACAATAAAAGGCTCTTCAGTCCAGCTGCGATACTACGGTCCTCACCAATATCAGCACCGCGATACCGTTTCTTTCTTCAGAAACATAAACTAACGATAACACTTGAGCCTCAATCGACAGAAAATCCTCCTCCACGTCTAACTTTAAGTCATACTGGACATTAAAGGCACTTCACTGCTATCACTGTCCACATCAAGAAGGTGCATGCCATTTGCTTTTATCTCCCCATTTCTCTATATTATCTACATTATTAAAACAAATGAAATATTCTACAATCTTTCATTTTGACCCACAGGTGCTTTTTTTTCCTGACAACTCCAAAAAACAAAAAACATGGGACCAAAGGGGCCAGCTCAACAATTAGCAACCTGGATGGGTAAGTTTTGACGTCGGTAAAGATCAGAAATAACAGTTGGGAGATTAAAGGATGGGAGATGGAACTTGTTACATGATTTATTGCATTGAGCTGCTCTACTGGCAGTCGGTTTTTGATATCTCTTTATAATAACTAGTATTGGGGGGGAGGGGGAGAATTATCCAGGGAAGTCAACAGCAGAAATCGCACAGCACTCCTAAATAATAACACAAAATAACCAGAAGGAATAGCTATTTTTTTTAAGTCTGACATCAGATGATTTAGTGTTGCTTTTATTCCCTCGTACTTTAAGTATCCCCACCTCTTTTACACCATCTATGAACACATATACATGAAACAGCTGCGGGGAGGGTCGAATGGACTAAAAGCAATACTGAATCATCACAGTCGTCACATTTAAGGAATAGCTGTGACCTCAAACAGTGTTTCCAAATCAAGACACAACAATGATGTAAATGCTACCGGTTTGCAGCTGTACAACTCCCAAGCATTGACAGGAAAGCTACTTTGTATGTATGAGTAATTCTTTAACTCTCAAGTGGTGGTGAGAGGGGTAGTAAATAACACGAACCCCCTCAATTTGCTGGAAAATGGTCTTTGCAGAATGACTAACGGCAGGAGGTGGGAGTAGCAACCAGATGATGTAATCCATATGCTCAAGTCTTAAATATAATATCACTGGCTGGAGAGATCTGTTTAGTTTGACACGTTACTGCGATGTGAATTATACATGCAGACCTGCACGGTTGCCTTAATACAGACGCTAATGCAGGCCTAAACCAATAGTGGAATAAACATCAAAGATCTAGAAAACCTGCTTGAAAACACTGTTTGAGTCTGTTGCGATGACTGCGTGCCGAGCGGGGGAATCTTCTCTGGTTGGCGGGGATAAGTCGAGTGATTTTGATCCAAAAGTGCAGCTGCTTCAAAGGGTGTGGTAGTTGCGGTCCTTGGACTTGCAGAATTTGTAGAGGAAGAAGATCACTGCCTGCAGGCCAAGGACCAGCACTATCCCACCAATGAAGCTCGCAGCGTCGAAGGTGTTCTTGTGAGGTTCAGGAGAAGGGGAAACTGTTGTGGTACTTGTGCTGGTTCCAGCTGTGATAAAAGGCAGAGCAAAAAGGAAAACAGAGATAGTGGAGTTATTCTTGTTTCTGTAGATTATAGGACAAATCACAATGTTCCCGCTCTTTCATAATACCAGATTTTTCCACTTACTTGAAGCAGAGGATGCAGGCGTAGTGGTGGAGCTGTTACCACTCTGAGTGGGGGCAACGGTGGAAATAGTAGTTCCATTTCCTGTCGTAGAGTCACAGTAAGAACACATCCATTAGCCTTTACACCGTTTAACTTTAAACCAATTGTTTAGAAGTTGTAATCCTTAAGATTTAGGCGTAGTTTTCCACACTCCAGCAGGCCTCGGTAAGGTTTGCTGCCTTGCTGTGAAGTGTGCAGCCTGTTGCCTCTAACTCTGTAACTAGATCCTTCGTCTAACAGCTCACTCTTGTTCCATTAGTCCCTTGCCAAAAGTAATAATGATCCACTGATCAGAAATGCTGAAAATGACTGCTGTCTTGTTTTGTGGACCCATTTTTGATGAGCAATCGTGGTTAGTGCATTTGTGTTTCATTGGTAGTTGGACTTCCCCTCATTCGCATTCAGCCCATGGTATTTTGTAAGAGCATACGTGACACATTTAAACTGAACACAGTTGCCCTTGTACACTTTCAGTCCAAGCTATCACGGATCGACCGCCAGTTGTAGGCTATTAGTGCTATATACTGGTTTCTACAAATCATCATAAATACCTGTAGATTTGTTTCAATTAAAAACTTAAAAAAAAAATTCTCCTGTGATTCTCATACAGAGACACATTATCCCATTAACCTAAGCACATTTACACTGATGTGTAAAGGTTGATTAATGAGCTTTGTGCACGGCATGTAAATAAAATAACCAGAGTTTTAAGTACATTACTATCACCTAACCATCGCACCAAATGCATTAACTGCAATGCACTGAGACTGATATACAGTCAGACAGTATTGAGCCTTATGGAGAAATTACACTGCTTCTCACTGGATGTATTAGCTAGATTAAAGTCGTCTTCCATAAAGCATCATGTTCATTCTGTATATTATTGTCCAGTTTTGAGTAAAATAGACGATAAAGCACGGTATGCTTTAGGCCGTTGGCTATTTCAAGCCTAAAATCAGTTCAGAAACATATTTTAATGTACGGTTTATCTGTAATACAAGAACACGTGTGACCAGGCGGGCCACCATTGTTTCCTTCTACGGACAAGTCAAAACTAAGCACATCCAGTGAGCACAGCTCTACTCGCAGTACATCATCACTGCTTGCTCAGAAAAACCTACATAATGCAGAACTTGAGGCTTCGAAATGGTTCTCCACAAACCAATGGGTGATATCACGATAGGTTTACACTTGGGCATGACACTTATAATGGCGACGGTGATTCCCCCAGAGGGCGTGTATCGAGGCGAAGTCAATGAGGCCGTGCTGAACGACTACTGAAACACAGTGATTGTGTTTTCTGTGACTGCTTCACAATAAAAAGCCATCCCGTGTTTCGCGATTAAAAAGTCTTTTAATGTAACGCAGCAACAGTATAAAATGTTGGGTTTCCATTAGCGCTAACTTAATACAGCTCTGATAAAGATGAGGATGTGAGGCTGAGTGAGATGAAATTAAAACATTAACACTAGATTATATGCAGCATTGTTTCCTGTGAATCCCTTGAGCAAGCAAAAGGTAATTTAAAACTGCGAAGGCAAAACGAAAACCTACCACACACAGAGGTAATTACGGAGTGGCTATTGCTAAAAAAAATTATTTGATGACATTCTTAAGGATTATAACTTTAAAAGCTTATACACCGGACAACACAGACGAGCAGGGAGAAGCAGAGTCTTTTCGGGACTGGTTACCTGAGGTGCTGTTAGCGGTGGTGACAACAGGGGCAGGGGACGCTGTAGAGGGAGGGGGAGTAGTCGTAGCAGCAGCTGTAGTCGAGGCAGTTGAAGTTGTAATTATTATGGGTTCAGCAGGACAGAGAATCAACACCAAGACAGGGGGAGGTAGCAAGAAACACCACCCAAACAACAAGAAAAGTTTAGCAACGCTCCCCTCATCATTTCTCTTAGGCAGGTGAAAATTATACTCCACACCTAGACAAGTCTTTTAGACACAAACAAAGACAACAAGTGCTGACAAACACACACACACACCATTAACTGACACCTTAGTTAGAGCAAAACTAGACCCGAACAGAATCTGCAGACAATTTACACTCCAAAACTTGGAGAAATGTTTTTTAGCCTACAAATGTCAGCTGATTCTCTTGGGGCCTGAAAGAGTCTGTTAATACAAAATGTTAATTTACAGTCTTTTATTTAGAACCATTGTGCTGTTAAAACTCACCTGAGCAGCTGACATTGCTGCAGGTCTCATTTTCTGCCATAAGCGTCATGTTGCGACAGCCAACAATTGCTGAAAGAGACAAAATATCATCCATTAAAAGCCTGACCCATGCTTTATATGAATTAAATCTACCCAAGCTTTTCGAAGTAGATTTCAGTTTCTGTTGTGTGTATGCAAGAGCAAAAAGCACTTGATTTTATTCATTTAAGTTCAAGTTATTTTGAGCTGATGACTGGTTACTCACAGATCTCATTACTCAGCTCATCAAGAACATCACTGTGTGTCCGAAACACACTGGCCTACAGTCGATTTCATGTTCAAATTTCATAGAGTGCACACAGCTGCATCTGATTAACTCTCTCTCACTTGTTTTGTGCTTACAAATACTTATGAAAAAAAAGAATTGCCCTACTGCATATCACTTTTCTTATCTCCTCCACAGGAAGGTCGGAGCAGTTGCTCACACAAGCCCACATCCTGCAGCGGGGTGGGTGGCGTTCCTGCCATCCTGCTGCCCCCATAAAATAAAATAATAAAAAAAACCTACTTGTTTATTAGAAATTGATGCTTGAAAGCTTTAAAATGAAAATTTAAATCAGCACTGCATCTGGCAATACAAGATCATGACTTGAAACATCATTAATTCATAACACCCTGATAATTGGGGTGGGTATTGTCAAGGACTTCACGATACGATACGCATCACGAGACATTGCGATACGATGTATATTGCGATATTCCACATAGTTAACTGAGAATATAAAAACAGAACTATATTATATTGATAATTCAGCAGACAAATTGAGTCAAAACAATGTAATTCAAAAGGTCCTTTTTCAATTTATTTATATTTGGCAAATTACCAAACACACAGATCTAGCTGTCATTATATCAAAATGAAAATTATGTGCACTCTTGCACTTTAACTGGACGCACTGATATTGAAAACAAGAAAATAAAGTGCACAGTGAACTCACTGATGGTGTGGGGCTAGTAGAGGACTGAGCTGAAATGTACACATGAAAATAAAGTGCATATGCACAAGTACTCCTTATTGTCACTCATCACAAGCGTAGTTTGCCTCGTGTCGACAGATTTTGGTTGCTGCGGTAACGCTGTTGTATCTACATGGCGTCTGACAAGGTGAGTTCGCAAGTTGGTTGTGTTACCTGAATATTTCACAGCAGCGTGACAGAGCTTGCAAATTGCATTTGCTTTATCCAAGTCCATGCTCCCTGGTTTGTTTTTGAAACCAAAGTGCACCCACACATCGGCTTTGTATTTTGAAGGTGCTGCTCTAATACCGTCAGTAGACATGCTGCTTCCATTTCTCACTCTGCCAGAAACTGCGCCCGCCAATTCGAGGCAACCAGTGTCGTACTGCGACACCTACAGGGGCTGAGGTTGTAGTTCACATCTCAACCTGTTTAAAACATGATTTTTTTCCCCCTTTAAAATATCGATTTTTGGAGCTGGAAATCGATGTAGTAGATCACGTAAATAAATATCACGATATATTGCCGTATCGATTTTTTAGCACAGCCTTACTGATAATAGAAAATATTAGGACCCAACTTAAGACCAGGGGAGGAATAATTATTTAGATCATATACTTAAGTCTAAAGCCACAATGTAAAAGTAAGTAAAATATTACTAATGTATAAACACGTAAGAAGACTTTTAATGTTTTAGCTGCTCCAGATTGAGCTCATTTGAACAACTTTACTCACGGATCAGTAATTAAATCACAACGCATTATATTCTATAAACAAATATTCTGTATGTAAAATGTTCATCTGCAACTACAAACGTCAAATAAATGTATTTCGCTCTGAAAAATCCTGGAGAAGAAGTATAAAAGTTTAAGTAACTTATAATCCTTCTTCTTTACAGCAGTTACTTTCTTCCACTGCTTAAGACTGAAGACTTTTCTATTTGTTTTTCTATGTTCAGTCTGCTGAGTCACAGTTTGATCCACTAGGTGTATCCTCCTTTATTGTAAAATTGGATTACTAATTAACCACGACAGAAAGGGACTTTGTTCTGCCATAAAGTCTAGCCTGCCCCAAATACTTGCCAAGGACAGACGTAGCATTGATCTAGCTATTTATTAATGTACCAAAGAAACATAATTTTACTAATTTACAGACGTGATCAACTGTTGCAATAACTAAACCATAACATTTGTTTCAAATGTCCTTCATGTGAGTGTTTTTATCAGAAGTTATGTTTGTGGGATTTTGAATGTGTGTGAAGCTTTGATAACTGATAAATATATTCTGCATTAAAAGGTTAAATGATTGGTCAATGTATAGATGGATAGAAGATTTATTAGCAACTACTTTGATAAATGATCAACTGATTTTAATTCCACAGCAAAACCTCCCCCACATTTTCCAGTTCTGGCTTCTCAAATGTGAGGAGTTTATGCTCCTATACACTTGACAGTAAGTAAATCTGTAAATGTTTTTTTATCTGACACACCTATCTTAGCTGTGAGAAATTATAACGGGCATTTATCAGCACTTTCAGACGTACAAACGTAGACCCATAATCTAAAAAACATACTACTTTAATGACATACGATGCTTTGATTCATCAAGATCCATTGAATGGACTTAGTGGACATCCAGGATGGCCGCACTTTGCCTGCACATGTCTCAGTCCTCTCTGGAATGCTGTTTTACAGGCCCTACGCAACAGAAGTAATACATACATGTCCCACAAAGCTTCAATAATGCTTAAATATGGTGACAGGCGAGGCCATTAAATGCCGTTCACCTTGTTGCCTTGATAAGAAATCCCTCTTAAATATGTTTCTACAAGCGTATGAGGATATTGTCTTCCGGGAATACAGGAACATCATAAAGTGAACTGTGTCTACTCAGTATAGTGCACCTGGTGCTGTAAAACACCTTCCTACATGTTTCCTCCTTGTTACACAATAATCCACAGCAACCGAAACCTAAAAAGACCCGCCAGATGGTTCCCCATAAATTACTAAAATTACAGATACAACTTTACAACAGTAAGGCTGCGGCCATTGTTGTAAGCATCTTTTGGCTTTGTCCAAATAGGGTCAGAAAATGACTCATGAGTCTGCGTTACGTTTTCCACAGCTCACAAAGCTGCACTTTGTGGTCCTCGAATCAGGTAATGCATCTTTGTGCGATGGCCAAGGATACACGCATCTATCAAATGGCTGTCCTGTCATAACTATTAGTTTGTTGAGCCCATGATGTAAAGAGTGTGTTGAGACTGTGGCGCTGCTGGTTCAGTTATGTGGTTACTATTGAGGCCGGGGTTTTGTGGTATTTGGTAGCTTTTCTGTCAGGTGTCTATCGCAGTCACTGGCCTTTGACTTGCCAACACTGTTTATGCAGCTTCTCACTGTTTTTATGTTTGTTTTTCAGCCCTTGAGCACAAAAAATAAGTTGTGTCACATATTTTAAAACTCAAAAAAGTGACACTTTTTAAAGCCGCAAACTTAATGACTCACTGCCTTTCTAACTGTGATTTAGTTATATCAAAGATAAAGCCTTTTTAAAAAGTGTTGGCTTAATTTTCACACTCTTTGTGTGATCTGACACTGCGATCTATGTATGCCGAACCATGTGGGAGGTTTTTCTTTCACCCTCTAGTAGGTCAGAGGGCTGTTATCTCGCAGGCAGCTGTGAACGTTAGGACTGACTCTCACCCTTTTTCAAGATGGTGACATCATCATCCACAGCTTGTTCAAGCCAGAGGTGTGAACGAAACCCTCAACGGCCCATCTTAACCACAGAAAGCAGCCTCTTGGTTAGGAGCACTCAATAAGCTTTGTCACAGACTGCAGCCTGTACTTAAGAGACGCTACAGAGCTCGCATGTACACGTGTAAAAGTTTCTGAGCATTTAAACACTGGGCTGCTGGGAAATGCGCCTCTGACGCCAAGTGCTTGTTTACACAAAATCCCTAAACCAAAGATAAATCTGGTAATGACAATGTGGTAGGCGTTAGCTTGCTGCAGCAGTGTGGTTACGCTGTACTCCAGCAGAGTCACCTCGACTGGCCAGAGCTGACCTTTCTGGTTTTTGCTGAGTTCATATCAAATAGGTGATCCATTCTGGAGTTTGTGAAAGGCTTTAGCTCTAGGCTTACTTAGTGTGTGTGTGTGTGTGTGTGTGTGTGTGTGTGTGTGTGTGTGTGTGTGTGTGTTTGTTTGCGTGGCTGTTCTTTTCCATATCGCTGTGTAGTAGACTGGTGTGAGTAGTTTGTTCTAGTCTCGGAAGTCAGCGTAGAAGAGACACATTTTCCAACAAGAACAAGATAAAAACAGCCAAAAACCTCCCTGAACCTCGTAGCAATGAGTCATTTATCTTGTTTACACTAACATCATATGACCAGTGGAAAAGATAACTGCTAATCAAATCTGTTTTTTTACAATAAAAACGGACTATGTAGATTAAAACTAAATGAGACAACAGATTTTGATACATTTGTTGTGTCTGTTGCTTATTTCTTCATGTGCATTCAGTGCAATTGTAAACCTGACCAGGTTTCTCCTTCGGGAAACTATCCCGTGTCCCTTTGCTCTGGAAAAATGCTCGTATAATTGTCACCTCACCTGTCTGGTTCAACTGCTTAATGAATCATTGGGTAAAGTATCATCGCAGGACAGTTTAACATTCAGGAACAAACAAGAAACAGGGTGTGGGATCTCAGTAGGACAGACTCAAAGCTTCTCATTGGTAAAGTTGTCAAACAGGTCATCTCCCACGAGATGCTAGACTAATGAGTAAAAGGGTTAAGATTACACGCACGCTACGGTGTCTTTCATTCTCTGAGCTTAATGACAACTGGAATGTAGGACAATATCACGGTTCCTTCTGAGCTGCACCCCGAGGCATACATTATGGGAACAACAAGCCACATGAAATTTATCTTTTCCTATCTGCACACTCTTTTCCTCTGACTCGTGCCTTTATCCTCTCCTTCCTTCTGTTCCCCAGCGTGAGGATATTGCAGGCTTCCTGCCACACATCCCCTCGCTTCCTCTCCTGTTCATCATTTTCACAATCACTAGAGACCCGTGCACGCCTGACTGCACATACTGAACCCGGGCCAGCGCTGGAGTGAGGCCCTTTAGGGCGATGTGGTCAATAATCATCATACTCGTGAGGATTTCAGGTTCAGGTTTCTGCCAGAGGTCCACTGTAGCTTCTACTTTACCAAATACTGAGCTAGAGGTGTGCTTTCAAGCAAGGTTTTATCACAGAATTTCATTCAACAGATATGATTAAATTGTGTGATAAACCAACTATTTAAAGATACAAGATTATGCAGGCTGCTCTGTGCTTTACTCACAAAACCTGTCACCTCATTTCCTGTCACTGATAACAGGAAAAAAGCTCCTCTCCTCACCAACAAAAACAAAAACCACAGAAGCAGCACGCAGTGAATGAAGAAAGCCGTTGGTTGACTCAGGAAGCAATCAGTCAAGCAGTTCTGTTATGGCAATTCCCTTTTTACTGAATGATGCATATTTCTCAATCACAACCAGCAGATTTCCAAATTAGGTTGAAAAATACCACTGCAGCATATTTCTTCACATCTCCCCTCCGCAGCGCAGAAGTCAGGGAGATTTCTCATACTTGGGAGCACTCGTGTTCAGACAGATATTTCCATTAACATAATGAAATTAAGAAACAGAGAGATGGAGACAAACGGCCGAAAAATGCACAATCAGAACTCAAAGTGAGACTTTTATATTCGGCTCAAGGAGAACGCAACTAGCGTCGATCCTCTACGCTGAATTTACTTTACTATATTTACTGTGGTCTGAAATAATAAAAGGAGGCTTCAGCCCATGTTAGGACGCCCCTTACCAGTAATTTACACCAAAACCAGCATGTCCTGATGCATGGCGGTGGTTAGTGACGTCGGCCCATTTACCACACAGCTTGAGGCTTTAGGGGAAATTGGCATGACATCATCTTAAAAAGTCAGCGTCCACTGCCATCACATACATTCCCCCCCACACACACACCGGAATCATGTGTCCAATCAGTTTCAGCTGTCTGGACAATTTAGGACACACAAAGAACAAAACCTGCCACACATTTTCAGGACAGATACTCACATGTGCAGTTAACCCACTGGCAGTCACCAGCGGTTCCACATGTGTCACATGCCATAGCAGGACATCCATCTGCAACAAGAAGAAGGGATAAATTAGATTTAGTCAAGGGTTGGTTGTTTGGTTTTTTTTTTTTTTTTAATAGGTAACTTCCTGCATGTGATAGAAAATGAAGCGGTCGCCCTCCAGATGTTGAACACAAACACAGCAGGGTATTACAGTGCAATTAGAAAATGTGACACAATAGAGATGTAAGGTTGTTGCATAACAAGCATATCTGGTTCTGGTCCCCCTCACCTCCTCTCCCCCTCCCCCCCTCACCTCCTCCTCTCTCCTCTCCCCCTCACCTCCTCCTCTCTCTCTCTCTCTCCCTCTCTCTGATACCTGATCAACTGGATCCGACTATTAGGGTTACACCAAAGTCTCCTTGTGCCCCCTTGTTCCACAATTCACCCACCCTATATCCTCTAATAAAGTCACATTAGTGCAATTACACCATTTACCCCCCCTCCAGGTTACACAGCTTTGCTAGCATGCTAAAAGCGTTAGCTGTTTCCTGACCAAACTTAGCCAGCGTGGATATTTAAAAACCTTAAAAACACACATATTTCTTAAAAACAAGAATGACTGACAACTGTGCAACTGGGTTAACAGCCTCTGCAAAAAAATAAATAAGAATAAAAATGGAGGCTCACACAGCTAACTAGAGGAGGAGGAAGAGGAGGAAGAGGAGGTAGCCTCAGCTAGCAGCTAGTTAGCTTAAGGTCGCTAGAAAAACTTACCTGAGTCTGAAGCTGCTGATGCGCCAATCAGAGCGACAACTACAGAGAAAAACACCCTGAAGTACATGACTGCGGCCCGAGTTAGAGAGCTTGTCCGCTCGACCGAGAGGGGTTGTCGATTATCTGCTAAAAAAAACAACAACAACAACAAAAAACAATAATAATAGTAGACGTCGAGGAGGAGAAGAAGAAGAGACGACTTCGGAGGAGGGTTTTTTTTTATTCTCTCTCTCTCTCTCTCTCTCTCTCTCTCTCTCTCTCTCTCTCTTCTCGTTTCTGGTCGATGCTGCGGTTGCTGCTCGGTTGCTTCCTCACTTCCTATTTGACAGGTCATGTGGCACTTTTGCACAGGGAGGGGTGAGAAAGGGAGACAAAACACACACACACACACACACACACACACACACGTCAAAAGGCAAGAGAGAGAGACAGACAGAGAGAGAGACAGACAGAGAGAGAGACAGACAGCTCAATGTGGTCGTTAACCTTCTGGCTTTCACTTCTGTATGACAGGAGACTATTAAAATTACCTAATATTAAATATTAAAAGTACATTCTTTATAATAATAAGATAAAAACAGTCGCTCACAAACTGTTAAACAATAGAAATACTAATTATATTACAATATCTAACACAATATTTTTATATATGTTATACAAATGTATACATATAAGTACAAAATATATAAAGAAATATAATAAGAGTCTAAGTATGTACCTTACAATAAAATATATACAATGTATATAAAAAATCAGAAGCTTTTTGTCCTCCAGTTAATTAATTCACAGCTTTATTTTCTCCCGTCTAGATTACTGTAACTCCCTCTACATTAACCTCAGTCAAGCTTCCTTAAATCATTTACAGTTAGTCTAAAATGTAGCAATGCAATGTTTGTTTTCTCATCTGTCGTCTCTCTTTTAATTGATCCTTCCCTCTTGTTTTATCTCCCTTATGTTTGTATTTACATGCTCCCTATGTATGTTTGATTGGGTATACATATTTATATATTTATATGTAGGTATAACTCGGTGTTAAAGTGCCATATAAATAAAGATTTACTTACGTACACTCACTTACCATCCATCAGGTTACAAGAAGCATAATCATGTTTTATAGGTTAGTTAATTGACATTTTTAGGGTCGTGTTATCAAATTAAATGACATCAGGATGTTAGGCTGCTTCAAAACCTCCAAATCAGTGGCTCTCAACCTTTTTGTCCTTAAGGGGACCCATTTTATATCACTGATAGATAGATAGATAGATAGATAGATAGATAGATAGATAGATAGATAGATAGATAGATAGATAGATAGATAGCAATCATAGGCTACAAACAAAAGATACTCCTTGATGTTTGTCCATTGTTCTATCAGGATATAGTTTGTGCTCCACACCTCACCATGCTCTTATCCTGTGAGATATATGAAAAATATAAACGTTTTTTTAAACCCTTTAAAGTTAAAAAGGCCTTTTGTCATATTTACTGTAACTTTCACTATATCCTGACAGTAGCACACGAGACAGATCATCAGTAGAACAATCAGGTTCCTCTGGCTCCTCCTAGAGCTCCTAATCACAGATATAGAAACATTCTCCGTTTGACGTCTGCGTGGTCGCCATGTTGGGGAGGTCGAGATCCGCTGGTTAACACTACTGAGAGATACAGACACCTCGCTATAAAATCGTCTGTAACTCGTTTAATTCTGAACCGATTCTCATTAAATCTGGTTTGTTATAAACGTGAGAAACTTGCCGTGATTACTTGTAGGAATTATTTCAGTTACTACATAACAGGTTATCTCAATGTGACTTCAGAAACAGATATAGGTGCAGGCTCTTCTATGTGGCCTCACTTTCATTTAGCCGATATGATTCTGAGCAATAAATTAGGTCACACATAAAGAGATGGATTTTCAACTGCTTGCTCTGTTTCTGTGTTTCTCCTTTAAATTTATATTCTTATTTACTTATTGGTATCATCAGCAAAACATTACATATGTTAAAAACGTTCAGTTCCTCCCATCTTAGTTGGGTTTGTGTCTCAGTACCTGCACAGGTTTATATGCATTTATACTCAATCTGGTAACAATAATGAATATTATGAATATCGTTGGTTCTACCTGTAAGTATTTTGTCAATAAACACATTAAATGTAACTTTAAAAACTACAGATATCATTATAAAAGTATAATGATTAACCCTCTCACACCTAAAGATAAAATGCAGTTGACAAAACGTTTCATCTGAGTCGTGCACATTATAAACAGAACGCCAAATTACAAATGCGTACCAAGGTTTTGTAGGAAAGCAAAATACTTGTTTGCAGATGTTAACATGTATCTTGTGTTTATTTTATATATATTATAAAATACATCAGTGCGTCGGTGCTACAACTTAAACACGCCACAATCTGTAACTTTACATTCATACTTGGGTCTTTCATTGCAAGTCGGAGTCTCTTCTAACCTCCTGAGGACGTCGACACCCTCGACCACTTGACTAGGAAGAAAAAAATAAAGACGTTAGGCTTGAACAACTCTGTGTAAGAGAGCTGAGACTATGCAGAATATTAAACTCTCATGTCAAACTAGTGATACAGACCCAAAGGCAACGTAGGTCCTGTCCATCCAGGGTGTTGGCTGCAGGGTGATGTAGAACTGGGATCCATTGCTGTGGGGACCCTTATTAGCCATTCCTAGAGTGCCCCGTTTAGTGTGTGACACGGCAAAGCTCTCGTCTAAAAGGAAAAGGGACGCATTACAGACAGTATGAGTGAATCCAGGACCACCTACACATATCTTGGACTGTTTGTATGTTTTTTTACCTTCAAACGTTGGTCCGTAGATTGACTCCCCTCCGTTACCTTTCTTTTCTGGAGAAATATCTGCAAAATATAAAGAAAGACACAGTTACCACAGTGACACATTTCAAGATATGTTTGACTCACTTCCTCAATCTCACAATATTTTAATTTTGACGACTTCAAGCGCTGTCATAATCTAAACAAAAAATAACGTGGCTAGGAAGTTAAGAGTTTCCTCTTGGGGTGACTGAACTCATTCTATGATACATGCCTACTTCTATAAAGCTGTCATAAAGAGCATCCTCACATCATCCCTCACTGTCTGGTCTGTGAGTTCAGCTCCAAGAGGAAACTGGAGCGGATTGTCACTAAAGCCTCCAACATCATCAGTTGTGATGTTACGATGCGGGCCATACCTCCACCTTGCACCCAGCCGTTGGGCACAACACGATGAAACAAAGAGCCCTTGTAGCAAAGAGAGAGGCCGCTCTGTGACAGACCTCGCTCTCCTGCGCACAGACCCTTGAAGTTCTCTGATGTCTTTGGACAAACATCTGAGAACAGCTGAGGAGAGGGAGAACAATATGGTCATCTAGTTTCTTACAGCGGCAATTTCTCTTACATCTATTAATGTTCTGTCACATTTTGACTATGAGGGATGCTTTGGAAAGTCCGAGGGTTGAGATAACAGGTGGTAGCAAGGTGAAAATACACGACTCAGTGCTTCCTCACCTCAAACAATAACCTCCCTGCTGCCTCTCCCGCTATCTGAATGTCCATGAAGACAAACTGGTGCTATAAAGAAAGGACAGAAATGTGTATTATTTTCACTTTAATATTTCAAGGTCTCACAAATATAATAAATGTGCAGTTTTTACAGAGTAATATTTAGCTAGAAGAGCTACTGATGACTTTAACTATGACAAGAGCCTGATAGCAAAGCTTCATATACAAAGTCAGAAGTTGGTAATTAAATTCTGTACTAAATAAACTATGTACAGAAGTCAAACACATGGTTCCTGATACCCACCACAAACACAGAATTAACTTTCCATACATCTATTTGTTTTACCTATATCTGTAATGTATGTGACAGTGACTTGCCCCAGTTTTCTGGAGGTGTTTGGTGTAGTCGTCCTCAGCGAGAGCCGTATAGAAAGCCTGCGGCCGAGTGAAAGTGAAACTCCACTGACTCTTGGCCCAGCTGGCGAGATCCTTCTCATTACCAAGGAGAAGGCCGTTCAGAAAGCACATCAGGCTGCTGGAGTACTGCCACACTTCACCACACAGCTCCTTGAATCACAAGCGTCGAACAGCAAATGTGTTGTGATTCAGGATTTCAAATTACGTCAAACTACAGCAGATATATATTGTTGTGTAGGTGTGTTCAACTGTATAGAAACAGCATCACAACCCTCAGTAGCTGTAATCACAAATTACTTTACAGGTTATACATACTAAAGCTATGATTATTATAAAATATAATATAATGTATACAAGTTAATTAAATGTAGCAGCCAGTTATGCAAAATAACAATAATCTAATTTAATAATGATAATATAATAATAACCCAGTAGTAATATAACACTGATGTGGGAAACACTGCTGCCTAATGAGTACTTTTAAGTATATTTTACTGCTAATAATTAAAGTCTCTACAGCTAAAACAGGTGTTTTCATATTTTTCAGATTAGATTCAGGTCTGTGTGGGCATCTTTTTGTTTTTGACTGACACCTGTGTCATTTCCCTAATAACTGTATTGATCCTAAGTTAATGAAGATTGGTGACATTATGTGTTTTCCAGCATCCCTCCAGCCCTTTAAGCTGTGCAGTGGTCTGGTGTCAGCAACAATAACTGAAAACATGTGCACACAACTCTCCATTTCTGAGTAGTTTACTGGATGAGTTGGATGTCAAACACATATAATCGGACGACTTACCCTTTTCTTGTTGCACAGATATGTGTGCCAGTCAAATTCCAACAGTGGTTGAATTTTTGGATGCAGAAAGGACTCGGGAAACTTCTGTTTTAATCCCTGTTTGTGCATTAATAAAAGTATTGTTAGTCTCCAGGTTGAAAACACGCTAATTAATTTACATAAAACATATAAAACAATTAACTGTTTACCTCGGCAATACTTTTGGCAACATGAAAATCACGTTCTTTAACTAACCCCACAATTTCTAAACGCATTTTTGAGTCCATTTCTAATAAAAAAGTACAACAACAAAAAAAAACCCTCCTCAGCCTGTAAACAAAAACCTCGTATCCATAGCAACAAGCATTTGGCGGGGCTTGATCGTGACGTTCGGGTTAAAATGGCCGGCTTCGATCGGCTTCGTGAAAGTGCTCCCTTTTTCTTCCCACCTCGTCGATTCAACGTGCAACTGCTCTACTTACTAACTTTACATTAAAAAAAAATAATAACCTAACGTTAATGGTGACCTGTAAGTCAAGTTAAACGTAGAGTTCAGCTTCTTTTCGACGTCGTGACCGTTAATGCCGCAACAAGGCAGCGCAGTACAGACATGACCCACGAATTGGAACGGGGCCCGACGGCGCGACAGTTTTGAAATCTCCGGCTCGTTGTCCTCCCGTGTTGTGTTGTGTTGTGTTGTGTTGTGTTGTGTTGTGTTGTGTTGTGTTGTGTTGTCGTTAAAAGCCCCTTTCTGACCGGTTTAATTATGGGTGTTCACGATTTGTGGTCCGTCGTGGAGCCGGTTCGTGAGTCGGTGCCGCTGTACAGTTTGAGCGGACAGACGTTGGCAGTCGACCTGAGTTTATGGGTGTGCGAGGCCCAGCATGTGCAGGCGATGATCGGGAGGGTTACCAAACCCCACCTGAGGTAATTCTGTTCACAATTTAACCCCCCAACCCACCTCCTCCTCTCCAGCTTCGGTTCAAACCCCGTGTTTTGTTGCCACCAATCCACTCGCTCCTTTTGTGTTGCAGGAACTTGTTCTTCAGGGTGTCCTCCCTCACCCTCATGGGGGTGAAGCTCGTCTTTGTGATGGAAGGAGAAGCCCCTAAACTGAAAGCAGAAACCATGAGCAAGAGGACAGAGACAAGATATGGGGGGTTCAAAAAGGCGTCTGCCCCTAAATCTGCAACAAACACCAGCAGAGGGCGCTTTAACGCTGTCCTCAGAGAGGTTGGTGCTCCACTGTTCCTGCATCTCTCAGCATACTCACTCATAATAATGTTGTTTTTAAAGCACTTCTTCTGTCCTTCCTTTCCCTCTGTAGTGTGCAGACATGTTGGACTATCTGGGTGTGCCTTGGGTGACGGCTGCTGGGGAGGCTGAGGCCATGTGTGCCTACCTGGACTCACAGGGCCTGGTGGACGGCTGCATCACCAACGATGGAGACGCCTTCTTGTATGGAGCCCGGACCGTCTACAGGAACTTCAATATGAACAGCAAAGTACGTCTGTGAGAGGTCATCGCTCATCCACAGCGTACGAGGTTATGTAGAAAGTCGAACCCCAGATCACCTAGGTTGAATATGCTTCACCGGCTCAGTCGAAAGGCTTCTTCGGTTCAGGCTGTTCAGGGGGATTTGTACTGAACTTCTGCCTGTGATCACTCAAATTTACACACAAATATAGATTCAACTTTCTCCAGAAGTCTAAAGGAACACCTGAGCACCTGTTGGAGTGGTGGTTTTTCCAGGATTTCTTATTAAACACTAATTCCCTGTTGATTTTTTTAGAAGGAAATTAAAGTTTTTGTTACTAATTGCATCCCTAAAACTCCTGTATGGATAGACAATAGGGTTGAAGGATACGTACTATTCAGCTTAGCTCATCTTTATTTATTTTAAGATGCCCAAGTGGAGATTTTAATTTAGCCTGTGAAGGAGGTGTGTTGTATTTGGCTCTAGATTTAGACATTTTATTTTATTACTTCTTGGCTAAATCATTAGTAAAGTAATAAACAAACTAATTAATGCATTGTTATGGTATTTATCAAGTAAAGATACTAAATATTTACTGATTATAACAACAAATGTGAATATATAGTTGCTTTTCTCTCTTCCACATCCATTTGGCTGCAAAACCAAACTTTAAGGCACATATTATTATAACTTGTGACTGGCATTTATCATTTATTTAGTCAATAACATCATTAAAACTCTTCTCACAGTAGCTGCAGCCCTTAATCTTTGCAATTGAACCAGACAGTATTTCATCTATGTCCATATCTATTTGTTTGAGTCTGTCTTCTGATGCCTTGACTGTAAAAAAAAAACATCAAATATAAATCGTACATATAATAAATATTGTTCACTTTTCCCTCCAGGACCCTCAGGTCGACTGTTACAAGACCTCCAAGGTACAAACAGAGTTACATCTCTCCAGGGAGAATCTTGTCGGTCTGGCCATCCTCCTCGGTTGTGATTATATTCCTAAGGTAGCGAAGGGCAACATAATTAGAAATTTACAACATCAAAATAGATATTAATGATTTATATTAACTGTACGTTGTCATACCTTCATAAGGGCATACCAGGTGTTGGTAAAGAGCAAGCTCTGAAGCTCATCCAGATGCTGAAAGGACAAACACTTCTGCAGAGGTAGGAAACTCAAACTTTATCACCTTGTCTCACATAAAGAGTGAATATAATGTTGTGTTCACTTCTCTGATCACCTCCAGGTTCGTCCAGTGGAAGGAGGAGAAAGCGGGAGGGTCTGAGGGAGTCGTGAAGAAAGTCGCTCACTGCCACGTATGTCGACATCCCGGTAAGTGGTGCCCCCCGCTTTGAACTCCGACCCCTGTTGCTGATCCTGATTTAGAGGTGATAAACAAAGGGTGGCAGGGAGGTGTGTCTCTGAGAGGATTTAACCTGTCATGTTAAAACGTACACGTATGTGAGAGATGGGTTCGTTTGAATAAGCATCCGTCTTTACACCCAAGTTGTAGTCGTATGTTACATTTTAAAGACCTTCTTCTCCCGTTTCAACTCTTCTGATTCATCTCCTCCGTTCATTCAGGCTCAGCGAAGGCACACGAGCGCGGCGGCTGCGTGCTTTGTGACAGCAAACATTTCTGCCAACCTCAGGACTTTGACTACCAGTGTCCCTGTGACTGGCACCGCTATGAACAGACCCGCCAGGCCTTGTCTTTTGAGGCAAATATCAGGAAGTATGTGACTTTCTGTTTATATTTTATCCCACAAATTGTAATTGTAAGTTCAGAAAATTAAAAGCAGAAGTGGAATGACACGAGAGAGCAAGAATATAAAGGCAACATATTAAAAGGACGATCAAAGTCTAGCAGCCGTATAATAAGTCTGTCAAAGTTCATCTTATTCATTAAGGCATTTATAAGCAAAAATGGAAAACAGTTAATCGTTTCCAGCCACTCAAATGTGAATATTTGTCTGGTTTTCTTACTCTTTTATGACAGTAAACTTTATATCTTTGGGTTTTTGATTATTACTCAGACAAAACAAGACTTAAAGACGTGTTTGGACTTTGGAAAATAGGTGTAAATTATTTTAAAGGATAGTTTCATTTATTTTCTTTTTTTAGGAAAACACTGACAAGCCAACAGTTCCCCTTTACAGAGGTACAAATGTTTTCATGTGCGTATATGTTTTCATAATATAGTAATATACAATATATGTTTTTTTTAACACTTTTAAATTCCATTGTGCAGATCATTCAAGAGTTTCTGATTTCCAAGGATAAGCCTGTGTCACATTTCAAGAGGAGACAACCAAATATGCTGATGATACAGGTAATGATAAGATTTTAAATAACTTGTTCAATTAGTTTTCTCTTTAGTGAATTTCATGTGGAAATTTGTTGTTTTCCAGAAATTTGCCTACGACAAGATGGAGTGGCCGAAGCACTACACCAGTGAAAAGGTTTTGGTCTTGATGACGTATGCAGAGTTGATGAACAGAAAATATGGAAGAGAAATGTCCTCCCAAATCAAGCCCCTCCGGTAGCTACAAGCTCAATTTCTTTACTGACATTGTTGTATTAAAATTATATTTCAGTACATAATAATGAACATCACCTTTTTCCCTATTTAAGAATATTAAAACCGAGGGTGAGGAGTGCTGTCGCTTGCTTCGAAATCATCTGGAGCACCCCAGGTCAGTTTAAATCATTCACCAAAGGCTGCTGTTCACATCAATGCAATCAACAATGCTCTGTTGTCCTGCAGTCAGAGGCAATATTTTTAAGAAAACATCCTCTGGGTTGAGTGACACGACTGCTGCATTAAGCGGAGGTTGGGGTGCGGGGTGCTCGTCACCGGGTTGTCTGTTAGTGACTTGCTGTGAGGTGGGGTTCAGAGGTGACAGATCAGTCACAACGGCCACTAGGTGCTAAACCGTGCTTCCTCTCCAGGCTGGGAAATCTGTCATATCAAAGTCCGCTTCACTAACAAGCCCGCCCGACGTGACCAGCCTCACAAATTCTCAAACAACTAATTCAGAAAGTGGTTCCTCATTTGTTGTATTGTATCATGTTCAATGTTACTGTAAACTGTAGTTCACTGGTTAAATGTTTCAGTCCAAACAGAGAAATATTGCTGAACTGGGTTTAAATTGAGATTTATTTGTGATACATGTATATTCCTAAATTACATTATATCACAAATAAAACACATGAATGTATTTCAAAATCCCTTTATTGAGAAAGTGGGTCAAAAGACATGACTGAATTTCTAAAATATTACCAATTTGTATGAAAATGTCTATAAATTCTTGTCTCCTTTTGTTAAGAACAGTGTGTCTGTGAATCAGGTCATAGGGGAAAGTAGAGCTGCTATAATATCTTGATTAACTTATTAGTTGATCAATATAATTAACTGGCAACTTGGTAACAACAAAGGGTTAATTTTTCTAGCAGAAATTACAAACATTTAATGGTTTTTCGGTTCCTTAAATGTGAGAATTTGCTGATGTTTCCTTCAACAACATGCTAGTCAATCCCATATTTCACTTAAGGACATTTTGACTATAGAGACTATAGATTAATCGAAAATAGAAAATAACCTGGCGGACTCCGTGGGAGGCGACCCTCGCTGTCTGTAGATATAAACGTCTCATTCTAAGGCTATAAAAACACAATGATTCCTATAGTCAGGTGATGACACACTGATGAAAAGATAGTTATAAATGTTATATATTCAATATCTGTCAATAGATCTTTCTAAATGTTACACACTGGACCTTTAACCACATTATTTCCTGTATAAAATAAACATACTGAGACCTTGAGGGTTTTTTTTCGTTCTGCAGAACATTATGTGTTTCCTGACGATCGGCCTGCAGAGGATCAACACGAGGTGAGAACGGTGGAGGAAGAGGCTCTCTTCCGTGTGGCCTACCCAGAGGTGGTGGAGAGCTACCTGAGAGACAAAGCTCTGGCCGAAGAGAACAAGACCAAGAGTAAGACCATAATTTATTGCATTCGCTATAAATAGAAGCATATTAGTACACACGTATTTAATATTCTGTGACATGAACCATGTCGCGTATAAAAAATGGGAGCCCCCCCACAGACTTGACAAGCTCCAAGACTTCCCACACAGTGCTGACAAGGGCGTCCTGATCAAAGGCACCTGGAGCTTTGACTTGTTTTTCAAGGCTGTCTATTACAGCAGCTCTGACACCTGAAAATGTAGAGTTTGGCAGCTCGACTAGTTCACACCAAAAGCTTTGATGCAGCCGTGAGGTGTCTGTCTCGCGGGCTTTGCTGTCACTTTATGCAGGTTGTACTTTGCTCCCACCCCTCCCCAAGTCATAACTGCTGTAGAGCTTCACTTCCTAATGTGTAGGAAACCCACTGAGACTTCCCGGTCAAGTAATACCAGAGTGAATATGTTCACAGTAACTTGTTCAAAATGTGTTTGAAATCCTTTGAAATTTTAACTCTGACATCCAGTCTCGATCTTCTTTACAGAGAGGAAGCCAAAGAGTAAAAAGGAGAAGCAGCCCGATGTCTCGGATAATATTTCTGACCTCTTGGCTCAAATGACCCTTCAGACTTCCTCTAATACTCAACCACAAGCTGCTATTTTAAACATAGAGCAGCCGGAAGTGTTGGTTTTGGACACTCCAGTGAACCACAAACAGCAGCGGAAGTCAAAAGAAGCCCACAGCTGTGTGGGCGATTACCCAAATACTCCTTTGTCTAAAATCGCATCAGAGGCTACAGAGGCGTCACCTTCTGTCTCTGCTGTTATTGACGCTCTACACCTGAGTGATATTGACTGGGAAGCTTTGTCCTTCACATCCTCTCCAAACCACAGCACTGAGCCCAAGCTCGGCAAAGCGACCGACAGTGATGTCCAGGAAACGGAGGGCGAAAACACCAAACAGAAAACCTCAAGTGACGTCAAAGAAGCAGCAGACTCCAGATCTGCTCCAGAGTTGTGCTACACAGAGTGTCCTCTAAGGGAGAGGGTGCTCATGAGGAACACAGCTAAAGCCATAGACCAGATGGAGGTACGCAGTGATGTGGTCTCAAAACAACTCGACTATGAGTCGGCCTCTCTCAAACACATTCATTCTCATAACTCAAAACCAAATGGACAAATCCCCAGTAAAGGTAACGTTGACAGTCAGTTGTCAGGAAATAAATCTGCTGTTAACAAGAAAGAACCTCTCACTGACAAAAGGCAGTGTGCAGCAAATAAGGCAGAAACAGGAACTCACAGCTCGCACAGACATACAGTACAGACTCAAAATAAGACGAGGGACAAATGTAAAGGCTCCCGAAAGCCTCCTCAGAAATATACGTTTGTCAGAAAAGCATCATCGGCTGTGGCGCCACAGAGGTGCCAGTCTGACCCGGGTCAAAGCCACAGTGACAAAAACGTGCCGCAGAACACCAAGAAGACCGTGTGCACGAGCGCGTGTTTATCCAGCGAGGAAAGTGACGCAGAGAACCAGCAGCATGGACCTCAAAGAAAAGCCCACATCAAGCCCAAAACCAAGAGCAAGAGCATCTTCCTCTCAGACTTCTCCCTGAAACCTATAACAACCAAACCGGTGATGAAAACAGCTCAGCTCGTACCTGTATCGATCAAAAGCACACACCAGGAAGTCCTTCAGGCTCCAGCATCACCTGTCGATCTGTTAGACAGCGACGACTCGGTGATTTGCGGCGAGAGTCCACTGCCGCTGGCAGAGAGACTGAGGCTCAAGTTCCTGAAGTGAGCTGGTTACAGGATGATGGATGAGAACATGTTAGAGACTTTATGTTGGATGTGAAGGTTTACGTGGACAACAGTTGTAACTCAAGGTCCACTTACTAGGTTTTTACAATAGAACTGCAACAAATAATCAACTGAAAATTAACCAGCAAACATCCAATAATTAAATAAAAGTAATTTTTTTTAAGCAAATAAATCAAACTTTTGGAGGTTCAAGTTTCTCTAATATGAGAATTTGCTGCTTTTTCTCGTCTCAACATAATAAATTGAATGTCTTTGGGTTTTGGGTCAGACAAAACAAGACATTTAATAACGTCAGCTAAGACTAAATTGTGTTTATTATGTTTTATAGACCAAACTGTTCATTAATTAAATAAGTTAGTCTTAGCTTTGCCATAAAGTGTTAATATGATCCTAAATCAAACAGTTTCTGTAGTTTTGAAAGCTCCAGAAGAAGGTTTTGAACCTCCAATCATTTTCTTTTCAGCTGAATTCAACTTAAATTATTTTATTAAATAACGTTTGTCGCAAAAACAATATTAAGTTCTTTAAGAATGTTTTATAGCAGAAAGTTTGAGCCTCGACAAAACCTGAAAGGGACAGTTTATGTAAATCAGGGGACACATTTGTGGATTAGCACAGTCTTTTAGCACTAAATACCGTTTAAAAGCACCACATGAGCTTGTTTTCTCCCACTGCTGTTTGACAAGCTACATGTCATTTAACATATCGGGAGAAAAAGTGCTGCAGCCGAAAGGGGGGACAGAGGACGCTGAGCCATTGGGGCTTTTACAACCTGCCAGTGTTGGTCCCCCTTGATCATGAGTGAGGCCTTACACACCTTTTTCAGACATGAAAAGGTCTGGCAGGAGCTTGGTGACAGCTGCATCCTCTGCCCAAATAACAACCTACAGTCCTAGCACTGCCTCTTAAATCTTAAAGTTTGCTTAAAGCAAGTGAAGTTTGTCAGAATAACTCAAAAAGTTTGTTGAATTGTGTAATTTTTAGGATGGATAAACTCCTCAAACTGGAAAAAAAAACTGCATTGGAAACAAGTAGCAACATGATTTTAAATATATTAAGTGATAATAAATGATTTTTGGCTTTTATTGACACGCAGGACCGTGATGTGTGTGTGTTTATATGTGTTTGACTATGTGACTTCCAGACTGGAGACACACGCAGGCCTGACTTTGCCAGAGTGGTGTGAAGCTCTCAGGTCAAACAGCATCCCCTCAGTCCTTCATTAGACAAATCACATCAAACTGATAATTGTCGTCGTTCAGACTTTAAAGAGTAATCTCCCACAAAAGGAATCTAATTATTTTTCTTTCCATCACATTATCCGTCTATTTAGCCTTATTCACACCCGAGTGATAGCGAACGACGTCCTTCGGGAAGGTCGCATTTTGGCACTTGAGGTTTTCTTTGAACTTTCTCCTGAGCTGTGAACCCATAAACCCTCCGGAGATCTGCTTCTGTATAAAAACGCGTTGGCAAAATCACCTTCAACAAGAATCTGTCATTGCCATCTTGCGCTGCGTGGAACTTCTTGGTCGTCCCGGGGGATATTTGTTTCTAACATGGACCTGGAGGTAGCGAAGATACTGTCCGACTGGGACATCCAGAAGAGTTCATTTGGAGAAGAGGACCAGGACTCGCTTCAGTCCACCTCACCGGAGTCCTCGATGTGCTCCTCGCCGGAGATGTGCTACTCCAGCGGGCACCAGGAGATCGGTGATTACTCCTTCGGCTTCTCGGGACGCAGGGCGAGTCCGGCGGCGCAGAGGATGAGCAAGCCCAAGATGTCCACCAAAAGACGCATGAAGGCCAGCGAGAGGGAGAAGATGCGCATGAGGAGTCTCGCAGAGGCTTTGCACCAGCTCCGCGACTACCTGCCGCCGGACTACAGCAAGAGAGGACAACCCATGACCAAGATACAAACCCTCAAATACACAATTGAATACATCAACAAGCTTTCAGACATCCTGGGCCGCGCGTAACGGACCCAAATGGACCACTTTTTACGCATCGGGTTTACGCTCATTTGATGGAGTTAGTTTTATATCTCTGATGAGTAATGCAACATCTTTAAGATAACTTAATTGTTTTCATTTCATATTTTTCCTTCACTTGTTTTTGTTTTGTTTTGTTTTGGCCCTTCTCTTGATTGTAAATATTGTTTACGGGCACTTGGCAATTATTTTTGTATATGAGGCTGCCTTTGTTGGAATTATGAATTCACTGTTTGGAAATGGAGTTTGTGGTTTGTTGATATGTATATGTTTCGATCGTGATGGGTATGAAATACAGCTTTACTGATGAAGAACCTCTCCGATATCCCCACGTTTGTGTTAACAGATAATTTAGAGAAACCGCATCATACGTGTTTGATACTGTTTTTTAATCTGTTATTTACTGGTATCTTTTTTTAGAACTGAAGTAGCTGCATGATATTTTTGTTTTGTTGCGTATTGAAAGCTATTAAATAATAAGTCATTTTGTTTAAAATGAGTGAAATTGTCAATCCAAGTCCTATTTTTCTTCAATTGCACAAACATATCAGACTTGTTTAACGTGTTTACACTGTTAAAACAATTCCATTAAATCCAGATTATTTTCACAAACATGTTTTATGTTACTTTAAAATCTTAAATAAATCAGTGTAATGTGTTGAACTTGTGGCCCAGTTAATTAACGGGCTTCGTCTTCGGACTGAGCACCGCAATTAGAACGCACGTCAGACGTTCCCTCCAATCAGAACGCCAAAACACCGAAAGGGGGCGGGACCAGAGCAGTGAGTAGCCAATCAGACACCGGCGTTTCTTCCCGATGGGCGTGGCCTCCGCATAATGTTGTCCCTCTCAAAGAAAATCCTGGCTCGTAGTCTAATCTGACGACGCCGCCATTTCAAAGCGCGACACAAGCTGTTGGGAATTTTTGTAATATTCTTTTTTTTTTGGGGGGGTATATTTTTCTAATATATTTTTTTATTTTTCCTAGAAAATAGGGATATCATATCACTTTTTGAATCTACCTCGCCTGCATCACCAACAGAAGTAAGTCCTCTCCGCGTATTTAAAGCTCCCAGGAACGCCCCTCTCCAAACGCGTTACACGACTTTAAACACACACACTCGTTATTAACGTGATTTATTTGGGGTTTTTTTTAAAAAGAAATTAGCTAATTGGCTCTTCCAAACGTCGAATTCCTACTTGAAATACTGTTTGTGATGAAGCAACAACAACAACAACATTGCTGTAAGTCAGGGCTGTCCTGCGATGTCACGTCCAGGAATTAGACGGGGCCCTCCCTGGTCGGGTTTTGTGCATCCTAATTTAGCCGGCTGCGCTTCAACATGAGCTCCTACGTGCCAGAACAGTATTGAGTATTGTTAGAGGCTTGAATTTGATTTTTTTTGATGGTCCTGGTTTAATGTTTAAGGGTTTACACTGCTTCCAACCTCCTCTCTCAGGGATCAGGATAAAAATGTTTCCATGACGCTCGACGTGCCTTTGGCTCTGCAGGCTTATTTAGTTTAAAATAACACTGTGGTGATATATAGTCCCTTCTTTTTTGGCACTGGTTACAGTCTTTTCTTTAAAGTTTCATGTTTATTGCCATGTGCATTAGATGCAAAGATATCCATATGGTCAGATGTAGTTAAAGATAGTCTATCCTCCTTTAATTAAATGGGATGGACACATTATTCAGTAGCCTATAGCTCAATACAGACACAACCATATACTTCAGACTCCTATAACCATAAGAAAAACTGAACAATTTAACCTTCATGGAGTTTGGATTAATTGCAGGGCTTTTGTTTTAGACTTAATGCATTTTACCAAGTAGTAAACAACATACAAAATGTAGATAAAGTGTTAAAACACATAATTAATTGCTCTTCTGAAGGATTACAAATGATCCCTGATCCTAAAACTTGTGTTTTTTAGACCCACATAAACTTGGAGAAATGGTAAGCTCATGATGATCTCATCATACCTCGTTGCATTATCAAACTGCAGTATTGTTTATTAATAATAATAATATGTTATTCCTACAGGGACTTAACAGTTGATCTGTATCTTAATTGACTTTATCTTTATAAGAATATGGTTCTTCTAGAAAGGGAATTTAAGATCATGGGAATTGTTGGATCTGACCAGAAACACTGGAAGGGAAAAAAGTTACAGATGCCTCTTTTGGTATTTGTTTTTTGTTTTTCTAGGGCGGCTGCTCCCTCAGGGCAAATTTTAAAGACTTACTTCAAAATGCAAATTCCCCAAATATGTTAATTGTCAGTTTGTTGCTTAGCGGCCAACCCCTCATCCTTTACCATACCTTTCCCCTATATCATAAACCTCTACTCTCCTACACCACTCTCCATCACCTCTCACAGATTCAGTATTTAACAGTCGTGATCCGAGGCTTTGGGACTATTAATAATTTCCCAACTATCAGCTTTGACTTGCGGTCGTCCGTGCTTAACTCGCAAATGTCTCACCTGCTTCAGCATGAGGAATGCACAGTCTGTCACACCCAGTGATGGAGCAATGCAGTGACTGCACCCCTGAGGTTTCATGTTTCCAAGATCTGCTGAATGTTTATATTTTAACAGCCTCGTGTCACATTGTAGAAACACATACCTAAATAGGTTGTTCATCAGTGAGTGTTATAATCAAAACTTACCTCTTAGAACATAAAAGAGATATTGCAGGAAAGCAAGCGCTTCACTGAGCATTAAAATCTAATAGAAGCAGTTATATTATTGGAATAAATGTATTTTTTGGTTTAAAATATCAGTTATGTCTGTTTTTCTCTGTAGATAAATCTTTGGGGATGAGGCTTCCCATTTGTTTACATCATGCTTGATTACTTTATGGCTGCAGGGAACTTATTTCTGCATGAATTAATTTTTCAAATGGTAAAATGTCCTATTTACAAAGGTTGAACAACACATTTAGCATGTGGAAGCAAAATGCATTTCTGTATGTAGAGATCTTGTCATAGCTTGTGTCGCTTGTTTGAAACATGAGAATGTTAATTTTATGGCCAGTGCCATCGTTACACAGTATATAAATACTGACCTGCATCATTTCAGATGGATGCAGACACAGAAGAAAAGATGACAGAAACTTCAAAAACTTCCAAGGATGAATCTGAGAGACCGATTGTGGACAACAAAGCTAGGTCAGTGTTAAGGTTCCTCACAGTCTAATACTGTATTAATGAAAACATAATGGTTTTTAAAACTGAATGTGAACAGAAAGCAATCCTCCTCCTCGTCATTTGAGTGAACACACGCTCCAGAGAGAACTGGAGTTGCTACACTCATGTCTCTATGCTGATGAATCTCCCCAGGGGTCGTGGGTTTAAAGGCCGCGGTCGAGGCGGTCGGATGAGTCGAGGTGGCATGCGCGGTGGGCGGGGCATGATGAAAGGATTTGGTCCGCCTGGACATGGGAGGGGTCGACCGAAAGATGGACCCATGAATGGATTTGCACCCATGAGGTACTGACATTTGAACATAGTGTGAAGTATAAATGACTAAATCCTTGTTTAGTGTGCAAACAAATGTAAAGGAAGTACATTTTAAGTTAAAAGAATATTAGTTTTTTCTGTCCATAGAAGATTTACACCCAATATTAAACAACTACCATTTGATATGTTCTGTATTTAAACTTAAAATGCACTTCCTGCCGTTCCAGAGGAATGAGGAGGATGCGACCGTACCCAGACATGAGAGGTCATCGAGGTAGGGGTGGACCAATGGGCATGGGCCCTCCTCCTCCTCCTCCTCCTCCTCCTCCTCCACCTCCCATGCACCTCAGGGGCCCGTTCCCACCCATGCACAGGTAACCACCTCACTCAAACACACACAGTCATTCGCACAGACACTCATACAGGGTTGTTTGTCTTAAAAAGTAGATTGTTTTGTGGATACTCACATTTTTGAATCACTGACCTCGTGTTTATCACTACAAAGGGTTTCCTCTGACTGAAACTGTCCCTGTCTGTAGGCACGGACCTCCTCCACCCCCTCCCCTAGGTCACCCTGGTTTCAGAGGGCGCCCACCACACCCTCGAGGCCGTGGCATGCCGCCCCCTGGACCTCCACGCCACTTCCACCCCCGTGGCCCTAGAGGGTAAGAGCTGTTTGAATATTATTATCATGCTTTAAGCTTTGCAAGTCACAATTCTCTGCACTTTCCTTGCACGCTTTTTTAGGTTTCCTAAATAGATTTGAAACACATCTGGTACGCATTTGAGACGTGCTTACACCAGTTATATTCCTTTTTAAATCTCTAATGCAAGTATAATGCAGTATACTGCGAGCCAAAAGACTGAGGGTTGTGACACAATGCATTGTCCTTTCTGTCCCTTTTCTCTTAAGCCTCATTATAGCTTAATTTCCTTCACTTTAACTTGTCCTCTAATGATCACATTTCTTTCTCAGTTTGTTTATCAAATAGAAGAAATAATACATTATTTTTGTCCAAATAGTGTTACTATAACAAATGTTGAGTCAAGGAATGTTAACTTTATAAATAAATTAAAAAAAGACTGCTCAACTATTTGAAGCCATACTAATTAAATAGTGCATGGAATAATGAAACTACGACAGACATTACACTGTATTTTGCCAGTAAAAGGTTCACAGTAACTGAGAGGGGGTGACATCCCTGACTGGAATAGTTCAGATGGCTGCTCTTATCAGAGTGTGCCCCTTATTGGCCAAAGCCAAGAATCCAATGTGTGATTTTATCCTTTTACACAGCTACCACAATGGACCGGTTTCTCCTCCGCCTCACCCCCCACCTGGCAGAGGCCAGAGGTGGCCAGGGCCCCCTGGTGGCCGACGCTTTTAACACAGCCTGCCCTAAAAACAATAACTAAGCAATTGTCAATGTAGAAGGGGCCTAAAGTGGTGCAGTAAATGAAATGCCCCACAATTATGTGTTATACAAAGTCTCTGAGTATCTTCATGACATACTCTGTGGCCAAATGTCTGGTTATTGATATTGTCTACTGGCAAAGAAATAATGTGAAAATGACTAATGACAACCGAGGACTCATGAAATGCCTCACAACTTTTAACAATGTAAAGGCATCCTCGCATTCTGTTATCTTTGTTAAAGAAATACTGTTGGTACTGTAGGAACTATTTGACATTGTTGAGAGAAAAAGCTGTTTAAAAACAAGTCTGAAGTTTCTCAAAGGGAGGAAAAAAATCTTGTCAAAGTTCATTTAAATGTTCTGTGGTTCTTGTTACAGTCACCCTGTGAGCCTTAAGAAATGTTCTTGATCTTTTTAATAAAGAATAAAAAAAATAAATGGGTGACACTGCATATTTGAAGGTGGAGAACAATTAAAGAGAGAGTGCACAGCAGCCCCTCGAGCACCACTGTTACTAGCTTAGTACACCTTGGACCTCCCTAACCTTTCCTCTTTGTTACATGGAAATAGTTATGTATTATATAACCTCACCAAGCAGTGCAGCAAATATTGTTGAACACACATTTTTCAAGAGAAAAGACAATATTCCACTTGTCAAGTATTCATGAGTATTTAATTTTTATATTTTATATCGTTAATGTGCAGCTCTTTTAAGTTATGAGTATTGCTGTTTAGAACATTCGTGTTTGTCTTCAGCAAACTATTGTGTAAAGACAACAAGAAAAAGGCATTATTAAATGAAAAGTATACTGAAATATATATATATATATATCTAGTAGCTTTTATAAATGAAAGCAAATTCCATCAGTATTTGCTTCAGTTAAGGATAAGAAATTACTCTTTATTGTGTTTAGTTTTTCTGAAGTGTTATAAAAACTTTATTCACTGTAATTAACATAACTTTTGTGAACCTGTGAATGTGTTTTATGAAAATCGTCAAGACATATGACGTAGTCGTGGAGAAAAAAAAGAATAAAACTAAAAATAAACTCAACTTCTCTTTTTTTGTTTATTCACAAACAAGTCTGAGAGTTGTCATTACAATTTACAACAATATTGTAATCTATGAAAGACAATGAATTGCAATGTCAATCACTTTTTGGATGAGTGTGGAGGACCATTAATGAATCATTTCTATCGGCTTTCTGAGGGCCGCGGATAAGAAAATGCTTGGAAAAGTAGTCCTTGAATTGCAACTTTTAGCAGCTGAGAACTTGAAAGATGAATTTCACTCACTCGAGTGCTTTTACTTTTTATTATCTTGTCATGTAAATTTGACTGGAGGACTCCACTTGAAACGCTTTTGACCGATAAGTCATGTCACAGGCCAAATTCAGTGGTAGCATGTCTAAAAGGAGGACATCATCTGCAAAGGATAAACACTCTGATATGACCGAGGACTTTTCATATTTTCTGTTACTGTTAGTTATTTTCATTAGTTTCAATTTGACCTCAAAGGGGACAAAAGGGTATTGGAGAATCTCACTATTGTGTGTTTTGACCAATGTGTTTTTCTATTCTTATACTTTTAATATTCTTATATATAAATAAAAGTTTGTGGCCATGCAGGTAGTTGCATATGAAGCTGCTGTACCTTGTAGCTAGGAGTAGGAACAGATTATTGATTGAATTATTGTGCAAAGTGCCGTGATAAACCGTAATGGTGCCATCTCATGGGACATTAAATAAAGTGGAAACCAATTAAAACATTTTACATCTTCAGATTTTGTTATTTGAATGCATATTGCCTCTCTTTGTTTTCCATAATGTGGTGCTAATTATTTATATATAGTAAAACCTTGCTATAATGCATGCAAAAGCACTGTCACATTAAGAGGCATATGTATTATTGATACTGTTGTATGTACTCCTGGCACAAACGAGGATTTGGCATTATTTCTGGATGAAAGAGCATTTTATTCTCTGCACCACTAGGTTACTGCAGAATACTCAAATATGGCTGCAGACCTTCATCAGAGCTAGTCTATTTCATAAATTAACCACAGACAGGTGTTGGTTCTCTCCCCCCTTTTTCTATCTGTCTTTTTCCATCTCTTCAGCACTTTCAGTACATTTTGCTGCCTCGTCAAGTCTCTGCAGTCCCTTCTTGTTTCTCCCTTTGGTTGATTATAACAGACTGACTGTTGTTGTCTCCTGAAGGGGGGCACACAGTACAGTTAACCTCCCAGGCCCCAGGAACCCAGGCCCTCCCTCACATCTCTCCCCTCGGTCACCAGCGGCGTGACACCTGAGGTCCGGCGCTTCACTTGAAAAGGTGAGCCTCCTCTTGTGTCTTAATCCCTAAACCCCTCCCTCACTGATGCCTGGAGATTCTCTCTTTCAGGATGGAAGTTGAAGTCGGTGAGATGTTCAGGACTGTGGTTTGATGAGGTTATGGTCAGTGCACCTTGTGGTAATGCAAGGAGCATGCAGGGATATGCAGGGAAAGGACAGGTTTATAAATCAGTATGATTGCACTTTAATGTTATTAGTAGTGGAGGGCCTTATGAAACTTTGGGTCTTTCTAAAAGAGGCTTTAAGGCGACGAACGCAGGAATCACGGTGACATCTGGTGGCTTTCAGAAATGACTGCAACCTTAAATATTGGGCTGAAAGCCTCACTGAATTTTAACTGTTTCAGTCTTGTGCTATACAAGTCCAACCAGCCTGCATGTTATCAGTAAATCTGTAATACTTTTTTTTTTTTTTTTACAGAAAAGCTACGTTAAATGATGATGGTATTGTGCAATATGTTTAAGTAAAATAATTAATAAATACATTGTTAAAAAAGCCTAGTATAATATATAATATGATATATTTTGGTAGTTTAGACCCAGTGTCCACTGTTGGCTCATGCGTTTTAAGCTCATGATCATTTATGTAACATTTTATATGAAGCACAGTGTGATGTGATATTCATTAAATTAGTGACTTTTATTACATTATTACTTTGTAGCAGCTGGAAATGTTCTCATACTTAATGATACTAGTGTCATTCGCCATGTTGCTCGATTACTCTTCTCTCTTCTTATCCTACAAATATGCTTATCACATAGTTGTGCTGGAAAACTTTTAAAACTGTCAAACTTAATCAAGTCCTCTGTGAAGCACCAGCGACATTTGAAGCTTCAGGTGTCATCAGTAATGTGGTATTCTTCATTTGACTCTGACACAGTGTAATGAAACAGGAGTTAAAACAAGCTTCAGAGCTTCTGTATCACCTGCCAGTCTCTGCTGAACATCTGTGCTTTTCCTGCTATGAAAAGGGCAATTGACAAAGCAGATTTTATTGAAAAACCTCTTTAGGCGTCATGATCAGATATTCACTTGTGGGTCAGAAAACCAACTGGAAAGTTCACAAACTCAACCTAAAATTTAAACACTGTACTGTTGTTTGTTTCTGCTAGTGTTGAACATAAACTTTAAATATTTCACCACAGTTGAACTAGTTTCCAAACCATTATCATGGTGTGTTTGTATTTAAGTAACAGTGTACTCAATAAAGAAGTATTCTTAAGAAGCAGGATTATGGATGGAATCAAGCTGCTGACAATAGACCCAGATGCTCATCGTTTTACTGTGTTAAACTATTGTAAATGTAAGTGGATGTGGACAAGCTTCATAATAACTTTTCTTTAGGGTTCATATGTTCAGGCATGTTAACACAAGTGTGGACCACAGAAAGAAGGTCAATATCTGTGCATCTTGCAGAGCGGAGGTTTTCAAACCTGCAGTATGTAAATAAAACCAGAAGGAAATGTCAGATTTAGGATTTGGGTATTGTAAATTGTCACAGTAAGGTGTTACAAATACCTAATGGTAGGTATGTATGTGGTCAAGTACGATCATTGGACTCATTACGGAGGTGAACATTTAAATATACATTTATAATCAAACCAGGTACATCCAAAAATGAGCAGTGACTATAAATACTGAATTGTGATTTGTGTTGTAAAGCTGGAAATGCCTCTCTGCAGCAAAAAAGGTTAATGCTTAATATCCCGTTTTCTCAGTGGAGATGATGCACTTTATGATTTATGTCTGAGTGTCACCTCTGTACGACAGCTCATTTTAATACAGGAAGAGAGAGCGGGGGGGTCAGTCCTCAGCAGCCTTTAAATAGAGCAATGGAGAAAAATGTCCATGATGATAAATACAGGGACTTTTACCAGGAAATCTCCTTAAAATGACAGGAAGTATTATCATTCACTGAGCTTAAGTGTTTTAACTGTTAAACAGAGGATGAATGTTAAATTCAGTGCTTGTTTTTTTCTATGTTTTGCCTCAAATATTTTTGTACACTAACTATTCAATGAATAAATAATAAAAAAAAAGAATAAAAAAGTTGTGTGCTGGTCTTGTGTCCAACAGAATATACATGTTTATACAGAATAACAATCCAATGTCACTGCAGATACTTAAAAACATTGCAATATTAATACAAAAGTATTAGAATCACAATTATGACTAAATAAAAGCAAAAAAAGTGAGTTACAGAATGAAATACAGAATTTATTTAATGAAAAAAGAAATGCAACATATAACTGATCCCACACAGACAATGAAACAAACATTTTTTTATTTTTCTGTGCTGTTCAATCCTAATGAAGAGCATGAGTCCACAACAAACACACGTTAATATTGCAGTTTTTCTCATTTATCCAACATATTCACTGATGTTTAAGGAAAATGAGCGTCTGTTGCTCATCACTAAATTCACTGGCCGGGCTTGTCGTCAATGGGGCGGTCCTCCCACATGGGTTCAAGGATGTGATCTGGAACTTTCTCTATGGCAGTCTGATAATATGAACAAAAAGTGTGCGTGTGAGGGGGGAATCCATTAATTCAAGCCTTTTCAGTGCACAGTTAAATTGAGCTGGTGTACGACGCAGTAACTTACCGTTGACACCTCCATGGCTACACCTTCAGGGAGGTTCCTCTGGATGTATTCAAGGTATACTTGTGTCGTGCAGCCTGTCATATGAGACAGCTACAACACAAGAAAAGAGACATATCATCACTATGAGTCTTTAATAACTAATATATTCTTTGTTTTGCAAAGACAGAAACCATTCATTACTTATTTTCCACTCCTGAAAATTCAGTTTTCTTAAAAACATAAAATCTTCTAATACATCTGCCCATGCTGTACATACTGTATGTACTGTATCTACAGTAGACTCTCATATCCACCTACCCCATGTACATAAAGATACCTGCACATAAATATTTATTTCAGAATCCTTTGCACTATTGTCTATAAGTCTATGTCTTTTTTATTGAACCTGTTTTGTTTATTTATGCTGTTAGTCAGTGTTTGTGTATTGAGAGCAACATAAAAACCGGAGTCACATTCCTTGTATGTGCACACATACCTGGCCACTAAAAGTGATTCTGATTCAGTACAAAATCAGTTAAATAAAGTCTGATTACTTGGAGGGAACCTGAATACTTAAGTATCTGTTAGTGATTAATTAACTTAATTAGGTTCTGGCTCATCACCTCAAAGCACCGGTAGTGTGTCCTCATCTCATACTGGACCCTGTGTTTTTTGAAGATGTGAACTGACTTCAGGACCGTCAATCTCTCGATGTCCTTGGGAGGTTCGTAACTGTGGCAGAGAAGAAAGAAGATTATTCAAAAACAAAATGCCAGTGAGATAAAGATAGTACTGTAATGTATGGCTGACACTGCGACTGTATCACTACTCACACTTTGTTGATGGTGATGCCCAACTCTTGAGCTGCCATCTTGGCAAAGAACTCATAGCTGTCCAACACGGCCCTGTCGTGACCTTTGACCATCACTGACACCATCTGAAACAGCGTGTCAGGCTCCTCTGTGACGGTGATCTGGCAAAGAAATGAGACACATGCACATGAGTTTGCATTATCTTAATGTCGGGCTGTTAAAAAGCTGTCAAACTGCACTAATAACTCACTGATGAAAACACTGTCGCTGTGTGGAAGGAAGTGCTGGATGTCGATGGGAGACGGGACCTTCAGAGACAGAACAGTGAATCATTCCTCGCATTTTAACACCGGTTATTAAAATACCAAGTTTAGAGAAAGAGAGAGAGAGAGAGAGAGAGAGAGAGAGAGAGAGAGAGAGAGAGAGAGAGAGAGACATATCTATGTTGCAGCCTTTTACACTTTTAAATGACAAACTCCTCCTTCTGCATCTATGGACCGCTCCATTAAACACCATTATTATCAATACTATTAAACTATAATTAAATTTGGTAACACTTTATTTGGATAGTCCCTCCCCCTGCAGATAGTTTATAGCTATTCGTAACATTTCAACAGCTTATCAGTTGAGATTCAACAACTATTACACCACTGTTGTTTAGGGTATATTCATGAATTGTTGCATATACTCTAAAGATAATCTGTTAAACATCTACAGACAAAAGTAAACAGTTGAAATGTTACAAATATTATATGCACTATATACTATTTGTTATTTATTACTATTAATTTATAGTTTAATATAGTTTTTATAGTTTATTTATTTTTTGACTTTATAAAATGCCCTTAAGCTTTAATTTTCTCTAGTTTCCTATTTTGCATTTGCTGTAAAACAAATTAGATGCCACAAAAAAAAAGTGCTCTAAAAATAAGATGTATGCTCTACAGAGATACATTTAATGGTAAACAACATGCGCAATACTGCTTTCACAAAGTATAACACATAATTGAGTAAATAAGTAGATTAAATTCATATCTGTAGATAAAAGTTGTAATGATTCTGTAGTTTCTGTAGTGAAACAGATCAGGTGTGTGTGTGTGTTTATTACAGTTATTGATAAACTACAGACACTTAAACCGAGCAGAGAAGAGAAACTGCAGTTTACCTGATTATGTTACATTTATTGTGCCCAGAACAGACTCCCAGAGCTCTCGGTGCCTGTAAATAAACAAACATTAATGAACATTTAGAGATGACATTTACTGTTTGACCACCGTGCTACAGCTGCCGTCACAGACCCAATACACACACCTTCTTCTCCCAACTTAAACCCTCACCTTAGTTCATTGTTTGCAGATTTTATGCAACACACACACACAAATATATATATAGTTACTGTACCAAATGCGAGATTCCACTTAATATCCTTGCCAAAGAACATAACTCTCGTCTGAGAGCCATGGGAGCAGCCATGTTTTCGGAGAAGGTGGGACAACAGGAAACAGTTGAGTTCCCAGTGCTGCCCTCATGTGTACTGGAGGGTAAACTACTACTGGGGCAACTGGGAGCTGAGATATACATACATTTGTTTTGCAATTTTGAGCAAATAACTTACTTTAGCAACTAAATGTTTGCACACTATATTCCATTTTATTGCATATTGCATATAGTGTATATATTTCCATTATAGTTTTTATATTTTATATTATATATTTATTATAATTTTATTGTATTTTTACTATTTGCACTATATTTCCCTTGTGCTGCTGTGTCAAAATTCCCACTGGGGATCAATAAAGAAGCATCTTATCTTGTTGTTTGTAGTTGGATAGTGATAGAACATCTATTTGAATTATTAATTAATATAACTACTGATACATTTTACACTTAACACTTTATATAAAGAATATAATTTACAGCAAAGATACAGTGAAAATGAGAATATAACCAATCCAATGTATCAAAGCAAGCAAATATTAGAAAAAGAGAGTACAAAAATAATGCTTGAGGGTTGAAATACAGATAAAGTGATATAGATTTTCACATATAGATACAGTTTGAAAGTTAACCCATTCCACATAGCAAATTAATTTTTAAAGTCAGCATTAAACAGTCCATGTAGGTTAAATGACACTGTAACAGTACAATACGCTGGACCATAACCAGCTACAACAGTAAAACACTGAAAAATTGTACTACACATTAATGCATCACCGGTAGTAATAATCAAATACTTCAGTAATAATCCTTGAAAATATTAATATATCACTTAGAGGGGCAATTTTATTAGGGTAATAACAATGTACTAAAGTTAATATTATATTCTAGTATATTCTATATTCCAGTATACTGCATCTTTTTATATATATAATAATAAATATAAAGACTATAATACACAACTTGCAGTAATAAATAAATACATATATATATAACCAACTGTAACATGTTAACAACTGCACTTTTATCCTCTTTATTTTAGAAACATGAATAGCTCACACACACACACACACACACACACACACACACACACACACTTATTGACGTGACCTGCGATAATTTAATTGGTCTAAATCACGTGCCTGTCACGTGACACGGCTGTCGGGGCCCAGCCAGTGCACAGAGGCAGGCTGCAGGCAGAGGAAGCAGCAGCGGCTCCAGCGGTGGTAGCAGCGGCGGTAGCAGCGGCGGTAGTACGGAGCAGAGGTAAGCAGCGCTCCACCGGCCATTGATGGTTCTCCGGCTCTTTGTTGACGACCGGTCCGGTGTCACTCTCCCGCTTTGTCCGCCACGCCAGCGACCTGTGGGCGGTTTGAGTAGCTGCATGCTAAAAATATGTAAAAGGAAACAAAAACAACAACCGCTAACCAGAATGAACAGTCGGCTAACGCGTTAGCATGTTAGCGCCGAGTGCCAGCGGCGGGCGGACGGAGCTCGAGTCTCCGCCGGCGATGGTGGCGTTGGTGCGGGGTTCAGGATCAGCTAGTTAGCCGGTTAGCTACGGCTGGCTGTTCTTTTGTGGACGTGTGGTGGGGTTTTAGGAGGGGAGGGGAGGGGGGAGCCGACGTTAGCTGCACTCCCCCGGTTAGCTCGCTGCATCGAGAAGATACATGAAGGAAGGAGGAGGAGATTTATTTATTTCTTAATCCCGCTGTTGACATGTTTTGATCCGCGGAGCCCCCCGACGAGGCTCGGATCCAAACACCCGGGATCTGGAGCTAGCTGGAGGCTAACAGGTAGTAGCTCACGGTGATGGGCTGTTTTTTTTTTTTTTTTTTTTTTAACGGTGGGGTGGGGGGGGTTGAGTGTCAGTTGGTAAACGTTGGTGTCACCGGGGTGTTTTATTGATTTTAATCCGTTTACTGTAACGTTATTTTATGTTTGTGGACGGGATCTGCGAGGAGCTGTTGTCAGTTGTCTGTCGGGATGTTACTGACAGCTCACTTTATCTAAATGTCGGTTGTGTTTACATGCAACAGTTGTCCGTTTTTATAACGGCTGTTAACCGTCCGTCGGTTCGCCCACAGGTCTGTCTGTCTCTCTGTCTGTCTGTCTGTCTGTCTGTCTGTTAGGTCCTCGTTGTATTTCATTTTATCAAGGGGTCTATTTTCCCCCCTCCTCCCCACATTTTCTAGTTTAAAGGGTCTTTATTTTAAATAAGAAACAGACGCCAAATGTATGTATATACAGATTAATAAGACAAATGAGTTAAAATGAGGTAGACTTTATAGTTAAAACACACAAATACATTAATGTAAGTGTGTGTTAGGTTTATAGCTACATACTGAGGCAGCAAGATGTCTCCCTCTCATGGGATTATGTTAAATTTTAAGTGGTCACAAAGTTGTATTTTATTTTTTATTTTTTTTTAACTATTTTTATGTATTTAATTGAGTCTTTGAGCCGCCAGAGGCCGCTTTGGTTCATAATGCCTGACGATAAAAACAGGAGATAAAATTATACATGGTTCTTCTAAATTATTCACCAATTAGTTAAACATCCTTCCGCTGCGCAGGATAGTCCTCGCTCAGGGAGACGTAAGCAGCGGTAAGTGAGGGGTAATTTTAGGCTGGCGCATTAATATTTAAAAACTTAACGGCTGTGGGCGGCAGGTGAGCGCGTTCACATCGCTCTATTTAACGATTTAAACCGGTTTTTTTTTTTTTTTTTTTTAACAAAACACGGTTGTTTATTTGTTAGCGATACTTTCTGTGTAATAATATCACACTCTATTATTTATTTTGTTGTCGTATTCATCCAGCAGTCATCCATGGGATCCCCGAGGCGTGTTGATAAGGCAGACTGGCTGACGTGATGACGTTACCGGGAGAAGCGGCTCTCCTGCGGGCTGACAGCTGATGGAGAGGAGTCCCTGCTCCTCCTCCTCCTCCTCCTCCTCCTCCTCACACACACACACGGCCGGGGTCGTATGAGGAGGACACGACGGAGCCCAGAAATGACACACTGAACTGGACAGAAACGTTACTCGCATCAACTGGAAGCACCGGGGAGGGGATCGGCGTGTTGAATGAAATGGATGCGTTGCCTGTTGACGAGTTTACAAGATAAAGCTTTTTCTTTTTTTGGTTGTGGATGTTTGTTTTTGATCAATCAGCTGACACAGTGGATTTCTAAATAATTTCCCGGTACTCTCATCCGTTGCCTTGTCAGTGAAACAGCATCAACGAGGCGGCTCACTGATCAAACGCATCAAAAATGACTTGAATGAGTGCCTTTTTTGTTGTGTGTGTGTGCAGCCCATTCGTCTCTGTGATATCTTCAACCAAGCAATGCTAAAGTCCACAGCTTCGTGGTCTCATTCGGAGTTTTCATTGATCACCTTCTAATCAGTATTGCAAATCACCGAAACAGCCGACGGGAGAAGCGCCAAGTACTATGCACCGTTGTCGCTGTCTCACATCCGACACCGAACCAGTAACCTCAGCGGAGGAGAGGCGCTCATAACGGTACCGACCCATCCGACGAGCCCCGACCTCTCTCTGGGTCTTTTTTATTTTATTCTTTTTATTTTATTTTTTTCATCCACGGTTTTGGGGTGTGTAGAGATCCGCAGGGATGTTCGCCGCCGTGGAGCATGGCCCGGTCCTCTGCAGCGACTCCAACATCCTGTGCCTGTCTTGGAAGGGCCGGGTGCCCAAGAGCGAGAAGGAGAAGCCGGTGTGCAGGAAGCGCTACTACGAGGAGGGCTGGCTCGCCACCGGGAACGGCAGAGGAGTGGTCGGGGTCACGTTCACGTCCAGCCACTGCAGACGGGACCGACCCACCCCGCAGAGAGTCAACTTCAATCTCAGAGGACACAACAGCGAGGTAAGAGGAGTGCAACATGTATATTAGATCATTCCCACTAGAGGAGAAATACAGCAAGGTGGCATCCAGACAGTATTTATTTCAGTCATCGGATCATATTTTAACCTTTATTTCAAATTTCAAAATCATTAAATTAGATATTGTCCTGGTTGTGATATAACTGTAGGCTATGCTGTTATTCCTGACTCTCCATAAGAAGTTAGGGAAGTATTAATCACGCAAAAAAGTAAAGAGTGCTGTTCACGTCCACCCCTCTTCTAATTCAAATCTTCCTAGACAGAAGAATAACACTGTAAAGAAGTGTTTTATTTTTTAGTATGATGATGGATTATTGATTCAGTGGATCTCCTTCCAACAGGATGCTCAATCTTTTACACCTGGGGATGCAATTATCATTTTCTTTATTGCTAGTAGCACTCTGGGTTCACCAAAATATATAATTTTACAGAGTACAGTCTTAGTAGTGTCACCTTTTTTCCTTCCCCCAGCCGCAGGGTCAGGTGCAGAACAATATCCTTGAAGCAACTTCTGTAGTGTTTGGTTGAACGTAGGACCTGCACACTCCCAGTTGCTCCTGGTTTGACAACCGCCTGCATCATTAGATCCCTCTGCTGCTCTTAGTCAAAACATTTCAGTGCTCCACTCTCTGGCATCGCTCCTATCGCTCACCTTTTATTACACCCTCCAAAGTTTCCCACCACTTGTGCACCGAGGGCCATTTATTTTGTTATTGGAAAGATCGGCTGAGTAATGTCAGAGTCTATTGCCCGCTGTGTATTTGAATATTCCCGTCAGGATATAGCAATGCTGGCACAAGTGGAGATTGCACACAGGTTGCGTTTTCTCCTCCTTTTTTTTTTTTTTCTTAGTGGGTGTAGCTGTTGGTCAGATGGAGCAAGGTGCTGTGTCAGCGCTCCATAAGGCAGCTGAGGGGAGAGTGGATGAATCCCTACAGAGAGTGACTGAAGCGCAGCAGAAATGTCATTTAACTCTGCCCACTTGAATGTGGTCCAAGTATTGAAAATTTCCCTTTTGTTGTTTTGGTGCATGCAGTGTGGAGGAGGTTAAACAAACATTACTCTTAATTTTCCCACCTATGTAGGCAGATTAAAATTCATTATGACACACACATATTTCATGTATTAAAAGCTGTCCCTCCATTAATTCAAACATTACTTCATATGTTTTTTTTTAAAGATGTAATATGTTATATCTTTATAGTTTGATTGCCCATCAAAATTAAAACGCACTGCACAGCTCACCTCCCGTACACCATCCTGTATTCAGCAAATATTTTTGCCTGTCTCGCCGTCATCATCAGTGTTTGGTGAATAAAGCAGCGTGTACTTGAGGAGAGAGGTTTTAATCTTGAGAGACTACACTAAAGCTCACACCTCACTGTCTGTGTGTTCTTAGTGTAAGAAATTGTACCATTCAGTTACATTCATATTTTACCCCATACAGCTTTGTGTCTCTGACTTAACTGTACTGTTTATATAAATATTGGTAGGAATTTTATTTATTTATTTGCAACTATCAGGAGGATTTTTTTTTGCATTAGACACAGATGCTACTGGGAGCAAAATCCACATTTCCCCTACTGCCCTCTGACCTCATCCCAGCACCAGTAATGAAAGTAGTAATGTCCTCTCCACTTCCACTCTAGATTTGATATAAAGCAATAAATAAATGCTCCTGGAAATGGGAAATCCATCACTCGTCCACCGTATGCATAATTTGGGGATTCTGACAGTGGTGGAAATCACACTGCCTAATGAGTTCTGTCAAGTTATGACAGATCTGTTCACTCACTTGCATCATTTTCCATCCCTGTTCTGTTGAGAGGAGAGAAAACTGTTTGTAGTATATACAGTCCAACACCAAGGAACCCAATAGCTTCTTATATAGTCTCCAGTCCTGTCCAGGTATTAAAATATCTTTTAATAAAACTCTCCTCAAGCCAACGTTATTTTGTTTTTTTAGGATTTAGTTTAGAATGAGCTATGTCAATACATTAAGGTAACCTTTCATTGTCTTCCAAAGCTGCATACTCAGCAGTAAAAGCAGTGGCGTCCTCATGACAATCCTGTCCTTTAAATGTCAGCACTGTCATTGAGTACTCTTAGTCTTTGGTAACGAGTGTCCTTTCACGTAAATTAGCTCATGTCATGTTATGAATGAGCACACACACACAAAAAATGCAACATGAACCCTTCCTGTAGCGGTCCGGGCCTGCCAAGATCAATACTCATGCCAGCATCCTTAAGTTTGGCCATTATTCCTGTTGATGTATAGACCAGAGTGTCCTGTGATCATTCTAATGTAAGCAAGCGTCTGAATTGATGTGTCTTTTGGACTTGGCCCAATACAGGCAATGTAGTAAAGTAAAGGGCGGATCTTAAGCTGTCAGACATCTCTTAAGAAGAGGGCAGATGGGTAGATGACTGTATTCCTGTGTTGCACTGCCTATGTCTGGATAAGGTCTGGTTTTATTTACACATGATGAAAAAAGGTTGACACTCTTGGTACTACAAGATACTTTGGATAAAAGCATCTTGAGTTGTTTTGAAGCTCAGCTGTTGTCCTGGTCTAGCACCTACTCTGAAGGCTCTCATGATCTTCAGATAATGAAAAGGTTTTGCAGGTCCAAAGGCTTGTAGTACATCTCTGATGAAGGTTTGTCCTCCTCCTCTGTGTCTAATTCCCCTTCAGCCAGGATGAGAGATAATTACAAGGTAACAGCTTCAAAGGGAGCAAGGTGTATGTGTGTGGAGCCATGTTCCTTTTGTTCAGTCTCCCACAACCATCTTTTCACAGTGGGTTTCAGGAGCAAACTCCTTTTTTATATTCTACGGGTTAGGGTTTGTGCTTTGTGTTTTTCATGGAGCTTGGTTGCTTAGCAGACATGCTTCGACCCTTACTGCACTCGTATTACACAGTCAAATCAGCATACTATTGTTATCGTATTATTAGTATATTATTTAAATCGTATTATGTTTGTGTGCAGAGATAGTTAGTTATACATAGTGTCGGACATTAACTCTCTCACTTTATTATTATTATAGATGTGCACCTATTAGATTTCTTATTATTAATTGGAGTGTGGTTTAAGTAAGCCTATAGTCCAAGTCATTGTCTTATCCAGGGCTGAAACTAACAGTTATTATTCTTCACTAGTCTTGTTGTTGATTTAACAGGATTAACAATCGATTTAAGGTGATTGATCATTGGGTTGATGTGATTGATTTAATTCTGAAAGAGATGTTTCACATCATGGTTGTTGCACACAACGACTTTGTATTGCAACACGGTATAAAAGTTTAAATGTTCTTTTCTTGAGTTCTTTTAAGACTAAAAATAAATCAAATTTAAAAAAAAAAAAAAAGTTGTATTGAAAGAACATTTTTCCTTGAACATCCTGATACTATTTTTATATCGTTATCTAAACAGAGCTGCTGACCTTTAGCAGCAGGCGTGTCAGTTAACACAACACTTAAATAAAATTTGAAAATAGATGAAAGCAATAAGTTTTGACTACTTCTGATGCTGCAAAGAAATCCCTCGGGAACGTGCATCAGAATAGATAAAACACCTCTTTTGACAATCGGGCTTTTTTTTCCCCCTATCACAGTGCACTCAGATGATGAACAGACTGAGCAGCTAGTCACTCGGAGTCCATTCTTTCTCCATGAGAGCTGAACATCGGAGACAGGCTTGACAATGACTGTCAGCATGTTGACAAGGAAATGTTGGCTGCAGGCAGCACAAGTTTTGGGCAAATTGTCCCGTCAACTTCTAGCTGTGCTATTTGTCTTACAATAGAATCGTTCGCTTTACTATGTGAGGGAAGTACTTTTTCTATCCACTTGCTGCATTTTAAAATTACTGTGTTTGCTGCAACACAAAGCGGTTGCATTCTGTATACATTGTGATCCACGCATAAGGCTGCTTATTGTCAGTCGCTGTACAGTGTGGTTGCTCTATTACTACTACTGTTACTCTATTTCTTGAGCATGGACGCTGTAAGAGAAAGTAGAACGTTAAGTGACTATCTCAAGGGGGGTGTTTTTACTTTGGTTGCTAAAAATATGCATCTCAATCATGTCCTCAGCACAATGTCATTGTGTTTATCAGTTGTTGTGGCTGAAACTCTTTTTTTTTTTTTTTTTAAAGTAATGGATTAGAACGTTTGTGTGATTGCTGAAGCAGTTCATACACAGCTCGCTACTATTCCCATGAGTGTCGTGGGTGGATTGTTGCCCAAAGGTAGGAGTCCCAACCTGTTGGTTTTCCCCTTTGAGGCCAGATCCAGGCTCTTTGTTAAGGGACACATGTCTAAGGCATTAATCCAACAGAGACTGGTGACCCCAGGGCACCGGTTTATGTTTACAACTTCACCGTGTAGGTTGAACTCACATTGCAGCTTCTTCTTTCACTGGTTCTGTTGTGTCTTGTTTCAGGCCTCTGAAAATGTTTGACATTCAAACTTTATGCGGTCTGTGCACTCTCCTACTAATACTGTGGAGCATGCTAGATCAGAGGGAATGAATCACTGTCTTAGATGAACCCCACCAGCATGTTTACCTCTCTCAGTTTTCACTTTTGCTATGTGATGTGTTCATTCGTTGTGTTGAGTTGTTTCCTGGCAATGCCTCATAAATAAATGAGTTTATATCTCTGGTAGAAAGCCTGTGCAAGAACCAGCACTGATATGGGACCTGCACATTTCTTTTAAAAGGCCAGGGAGGTGGATGAAGATACTGGATGACTTCTGTGGTGCAGTGCAACTAACTCATCTGTTTAGACTTAATGGGGACCATAATAATGGATTGCAAGACGGGCACAATGCAGCATCATTCTTTCCTGCAATACAAGCAGAGAAAAGTTAGAGTAAAGTCATCACTTTTAATGGGCTGTGCTACATTTCCGCCCCAGAGTTTTCCTCAGTGTCACTCACTCGGATTGCATCACGACCTGTGTCCAGACACTTATCTGCTCCT